CCTCGTGTGTAGTGTAGTGTAGTGTAGTGTAGTGTAGTGTAGTGTAGTGTAGTGTAGTGTAGTGTAGTGTACACTCAGGTGACGGCGTTGGTCGAGTCGTGAAAGGAATTTGTACAAACATAGTTTGGACGAGGATTCGGTTTCCCTCGCCTTAGTTGTGCTGCGTGTTCAAAGCTTCAGTCCAACAATGGCTTCTGTCCGTGGGCTGTGGAGATCGATAGGAGTGTGAGGACCAGACAAAGCAGCAGCAACATGTCGCCATGAAAACGGGACATGATAGATCTGTGTAGAGCCTGTGGACACTCGGAGGGTCTGACCGTGTGTGTGTGTGTGTTGGAATCATTCACACTTCTAGGCTTACATAGCCACAGGGCAGGTGAGGTAATGTGGACATGATAGAGTCTGCCAGAGGGGAGGTGGGACACACTAGCCGGTGCATGACAGGGCAACAAACATGCATGCAAACACACTCACACACACACTCTCTCTCTTGCATCTCAGGTTCATCAGATGGGTGTAACAATAAGGCACTCGTGGCCGAGGCCAAATAAAACATCAACACTCCGCAGCTCTTTTCCTCCGTTATCAAAATGAACTGAGTGTCTGCATCTATCACCGCTACTATCAGGCTTCCTGTCACACACACACACATATTTACACACACATACACACACACGCACATACACAGTAACACAAAGGCATGGCCGATGGCCATTCAACACACTGTTCAAACATTACAAACACATTATGCAGACATCCTTCCCAAACACACGCGCAGAGGCACAATCACCATCAAGAATTCCCTTTACACACACACACATGCACACACACATGCTCTGTTTAAGTTATTAAAACTATCTATTTATCTAATTATTCTTATTGACTCAACTTCCATTCACTTGTACACGACTAGAACGCTGTCTGTTAAAAATAAAAAGTACTGAAAAAGTTCCTCATGAAACAAAAACAAAAACAAGTTCAAAATTAATTAAAAAATGAACTGTACAAAAGTAATGACTTGATTTTTTTAAATACAAGGATTTTGATTTCTAACTATATTATATTTATATATGTATATGTATTTTATATAAAAAAATATATATATATAAATATATATACATATATTTTATACATTATATATACATTATATACATTATATATGTGTTTAAATATATGTATATTATATATACATATATTATATATGTATATATGTGTATATATATTATATATGTATACATGTATGTGTATATATGTATATATATATGTATTTTATATATTTATATATTTGTATGTGATTTGTACTAATAGGTTATTGTTTTTCACCACAACTGTACCAGAGGTGTACAGCTCCAGAGTTAGTGGATGCTCCGTACTTTTTTAACCCAGGGACAGGGGTGTGACCTTGACCGTCCAGCTGTCGTTAGCCTCAGGTGTCGATTAGTTCAATACGCACCTGACAAATATATGTACAAGCCTTGAAAACCAACTGTTATATTTGTCTGTCGAGTTGTGACACTTTGACATTAAGTTTCTTCAAACTGTCTTTCGTCATCTCTCGAGCTAAGGCACCTCAGCTGTGTTTTTGGCACCCCCTGTAGGATAAGGTAAGGTTAAAGGTCGTTTGTTTCCAAAGGCTAACAGTTATTTAGAAATTAAGCTCTGTTCCATTAGAGTCAGAAGGTAAAAATTTTTTTTGCTAATTAAGAAAACACGCACGTACAGGTCATGAGGTCAGCAGTTACTCAGTGTTTTTGGTGGATTTTTATTTTTCACTAAGCCGTTAAGTTCTTCTACCTGTAACTCAATCTGTCTTCAGCGTTGCTTTTTGTCCGGGGCCGCGGGTCCCGTTGACTTATTATGTCAGCATTGACGGACAGCCCCGTGCTAATAGAGGTGTCTGTGTGTGTGTGCCGCTGTTGGTGGGAGTGTGAGTGCGAGTGTTCTTTGTGGAGAACGGTTGCCTGTCGTTAAGGGAAGGTCTGGCTGTTTTGATTGCGGTTGGCACAGTTATAGTCGTCGGTTGAGAGGTTTTTTTTTTGTGCATGTGAGTGGGTGTTTGTTTTATGTGTGTGTGTGTGTGTGCGCGCGTGTGTGTGTGTTTCTGGGCTAAGGGCGTCCGTCGCCGCCTTCTTCTCCTTTGTGGCTAGCTGTGGGGATCAAGTGTGTTGCCATGGCTGCGGCAAGCCCATCGCCCCTGGAGACGACACCTGAGAGAGAGGGAATCTTCAGTAGGTCAGAGTCAGAGTCAGAGTCAGAGTCAGAGTCAGAGTCAGAGTCAGACGGAGGGCACAGAACAGACCCTTCAGAGTCTGAAAAAAAATGTTTTCCCTTCCTAAGAGTCATTTTTCTTTGTTAAAATAGACACAAGACCCATGAAGTACCAATAAAACAATAAAATGAATGAGCACAATAAGGCTTTAAAGCTAAAATGTGCTAATAAGCTAACAGCTAGTTGTTTACCTTTTCCAAAGTCTATTTTTTAGATAGAATTCTGTGGCTTTTTTAGATTTCCAGTGTAGTCCAGTCCAGTGGCCAACCTTTACCTCCTTTTGTTAACAGTTAGCTGGTGGCTATTCTTTGATCAGTTCAAGCAAGAGCTGTTTTTTTTTATTGTATTTTGGGGTAGATTTTGATACAATAGTTTAGCATTTATAGACAAATGTTTTGCTTTTCTTTTGGGAAACTTTTTTTTTGCATTTAGACACAATTGACACCTTTTTAGGTAATTAAAAAATTACATTTTTCACATCTGTTTGGCATTTTTAGGCAAATGTTTCACTAAAAATACAGAGATTTTAACATCCATTTGCTAATTTCTAGCATAGACAGTGCTGAATTGGATTTTTCTAACTTGATTTTTTTTATTAAATAAAAAATTATGATTTAACCCGGTGCTCACGGAGGAAGTTTTAATGCAAAAAAGTGTCATTTAGGAAACACCCGAAGGTGTTTCAGATGTTTTAAAGTTTGAATGTTTACAGTAGAACAGGTTTCTTAAATACTCAGCACTAAATACTGTAAATTAGTACAGCTGTGATACTCGTGTGTCTGTACGACAGTGTGTATAAATAAACAGTCGACAGATCGGACGTGTATCTGTCTGCGTGACATATGTTCAGACTGTGTAAGAGCAGATTCATCGTTGCTGCCTATGTCCATGAAATAGATGTGAAGTTTGAGGACACACTCCGACAGCTGCACACTGACCCAACATTACACGCACACACAAACACGTTCTCTACGCACACGACAGCTGCACACGCCGTTCTGCAAATGGATCCTGGAGTTGATGAGTCTGAGATGATGTTTTTCTTTTTTTTTTTAATTTTTAACTTTGAAAAACACTGTTATAAAGTGTACAGTACAATGTAATATTCTTCTCTAGCGCCCCCTACAGCCCTTAAAAAAAGATGAAGCTGAGAATGAAGAAGAATGAATGAAGTGTTTTTTGTCATGATTTCATTCCTTGATAAAGAAAGTTTTATTGTAGTTGTGACAGCGTTGACAACAGAGAATAACAGACAGGAAATGAGATCAGATGGACAAATAAAAAAGAGGAGCAGTGATGTCAGAGGTGTAGTAGCTTCTCTCTGTCCTTTTTGTGGCGTCGGTGGAAGGAAACAGGACATACCGACGGGAGGGGCAGGGGCAGATGACAATAAAAACTGCCCCTGGGTCGGAAAATCTTCAGGAGCAAACAGAAAACACTGCAGCCTCTGTCGCTCCTTTTCTCTGCCGTCTGCCGGCAGAGTCCCCTTTGTCCCTGTCTTCCAGTGTCTCATTTCTGCTCCGTCTGCTTCACAGTTTTTTTTTCTGCTTTTCACCTTCTTTATCCTCGCTTCCTTTGCTCTGCGTCTCTGCCAGTATCTCATTACTTTAATCCGATTAATACAGGAAACGCACATGCTAACACGTTAGCTCTGCACCAGCGCTCTTCTCAATCTCTTTATTTGATCTCCTGAGAAACAATAACTCATCTGACCTAAAGTCACATGACTTCCATATTCTATTTTAACATCAGGAGTTAGTACTACTACTTCAGGGCCTTCAAAGTTTTTTTAACTTGCCGTCACTCAAACATCTCAACCAATGACCAGCAAGTGGGCTGGAAGTACAAGAACATTAGAAAATATTCATATTTAATGAAATATAATTTAACAAAACATCACCAACATATAGTGTTTGTGCTTTTTTTTTTTCATTTTCAAAATTCATCAAGTGGGCCGGTTTTGGCCCACGGGCCGTATGTTTGCCACCCCTTATGTAAACACATCACTGTCATCAGGCCTGGGCTCCGCGGTCCTATTTGTCATGTGTTCCTGTGGTGCGGAGGTCAACTGCCCTCTAGGGGGAGATACCAGAGCGATCTGTCTAATCCTGCCAGCCACTGTGAGCGGATCACGGCAGAAAAACAAAAGATTATTCATGATTTAACGTGAATAATTACAGAAGCGGTGATGGTTTCAAACGGATGCTGGAGCTTTTTTTTTGTGCGGCCCATTGTTGTTTCCTTTTAATCTGCGGTCTCGAGGTTAGAAATCACAGGGAACTCCTGTGAAGTTTCCTGAGCCGATCCACGTTTTCTCAGATCAACATTTTGTTGGCTACGAGCGCTAAAGGAGGAATTAACTTTCATCGTAATCTTTAGTCGTGGGCACAAACACAATGGGCTGTTTGTCACATTGAAGCCAGCAGGGGCTGGTGTACTTCCACTGTAGGCCGCCAGGAGTTCTTCAGTGAACTATGAGTCTAAACCAGTGGTTCACCACCCTCCCATTTTCATCATCGAGCCCCTTAAAACTTCAATTTTTTTTTAAAATCACTGTAAAGTGATATTTCCACAGAGAGAAAACTGAAATAAAGTTACAAATTAGTAGATTTTTCCGACTGCCCAGTTCTGTGAAACTCAATTATCAGTTTTACTTTTTCATATTTTCCTTGACATTTTTGTTCTGGCACTACAGCCTTCTAATTGGGTCTGTTATGTCTCTGTTTTTCAGCCTAACATCGGGCGTCTTGGCATCCCACATGGGCCGTCCGGTGAGAAGGTGGCGGTGGTGGCGGTGGACGACTGTGACATCTCCATGGCCATTCGATTTGGGAAACAGATCGGAAACTACTCCTGTGCAGCCCAGGGAACGCAGACCGGACAGAAGAAGTAAAAATGAATTTCACATTTATATTAATGTAACCAAAGGCTTCAATAATGGAACCGTTCTTGACTGGGAAAGAGGAGTCAAGGTCCTCAGTTCAGAGCAGGGCCTCTGTGTAACTAAGACTAACCTGGAAGGCTTTAATAACCTTAATTACCACTAATCACTTAACTGTAATTCTTCTGTACTCTCCTGTAAAGACACAGTCATCACAACGCGAACTTACAGCGACTTACTACGTTGTTACCAAAGACTAATTGATTGTCACTGCAAATAGCGTGAGAGTTTTTTTTTTTAACTTTTTTTTTTTTTTCGGCGTGGAGCTGACATGCTGAGGCACATTTTAGTATGCAGGGTGGGGACAGGGCGAGGGACGGAACACTTCAAGGAGAGCTAATGAGGTTACATTCCAACCGAAACTTGTTACACAAGGAGCAGACACGGCGAGTTCAGATGACTCCCCGTGTGTGACTTTAACTGACTGTTCCTGACGGCGTGGTTAGTGGCAGTGATGGTGAAGTTCAAACACCTTCACGTGAGTGGCATTAAGACGGAGGAAGGTTTCCCACTAATCCACAAACAGTTGATTAATAGTACTACTCTACCAAAGATTAGACCAGCGGTTACCAAAGTGGGGGGCGGAACCCCTTGGGTGGCATGGAGATATTATAATTATAATATATAATAATTTTTCATTAGGAATATTTGTTTTAAAGTGTGTAAAACGTTGCATACCAAAAGTATCCTAAGGTAATAAAGGTCAGACAGAGTGTACGTGGTCAGCAGTATTTAGCCTGATTTTCACATGTCACCTACAGGTCACTGGACTTGACTGGACCCTTGTTGCTCGGCGGTGTTCCCAACCTGCCTGAGGATTTCCCGGTCCGGAATCGTAACTTTGTGGGCTGCATGAGGAACCTCACCATCGACAGCAAACCCATCGACATGGCTAGCTTCATCGCTAACAACGGCACCACGGAAGGTTCGCAGGCGCAAGTTCTCACAATTACAACTGAGGCGTCCATCTTGATGAGCATCGGTACCAGTTCATGCTAATGTTTGTTTTTGTCTCTCGTGCTCAGGTTGTCCCGCAAAGAAGAACTTTTGCACGAACGATGTGTGTCAGAACGGAGGAGTGTGCGTCAGCAAGTGGAACACCTACAGCTGCGACTGTCCCACCGGATACGGAGGCAAAAACTGTGAACAAGGTAGAAGAAAAAAACAGAAAAAACATAAATACAAATAAATACACAGAAAACAGGCCAGAGCCGGGATAAAAAAAACAAAATGTCATTTTCTACTACAGAGATACTTTATTCTTTTCTTTTCTTTATTTATTTTCCATCAGAATTAACTGGACCAACTCTGTCAGGAGTTTTCCCTCTTTTTTTTATTTCCAGCTCTGTGACTTTTAAAAGCATAAAGGCATGTATTTTGTATGAAGACATTTTTTGTAATTGGACCAACTCTGTCTTTAGTCTCTTGAGAACATTTTATCTTCTTTTTTTTTGTCTTTATTTCTAGCTCTGTGACTTTTGAAACCATAAAAGCATGTATTTTGTATGAAGACATTTTTTTTTTAAAAACCCACTGCTTTCAAACTGTTTAACTAATATTCTGCTGCTTCCACAATGTGACAACTTGATATAAAACTTTTATTAATTTTAATTTAATTTAAATTTAAACAAAAAAACCCCACTAGACTTCAACAGCATATTTTTATTAGTCAACATGAACTAACTAACTAATATAAAATAACCAATTTCTACCAAGGTAAAAGAAAAAGTTTCAGCCTAAAATAAAGCAAAATATAAAATATAGTTAAATAGGCATTAAAAATATATCATGTCCACTTTAAAATGTACAGTCCTGTGGCTGCTGCAGCTTCAGATAAAATCTGTTCCATAGTTTTGTCCCACATTAGTTTGGTACCGATCCTGAGAAATCGGTCATATTCTTATTAGAAATCAGTTTTTTTTTTAAACCGAGGTTGTTTGTGTACACACCTCGTGTTTATACAGTACCTACTGTATGTGTGTCTATGCATGTGTCTCGAGGACATCCAGGAAGCAGCGTCTCTGTGGGAGATTAGCTCTGATGCTGGGATTGTCAGGCTCCTCCCAGGACGGCGTCTGAGTCACGGTGCAGCTCCAGTGAAAAGTCTTCACTCGCTGCAGCACAGACACAAACACACAGCCTCAGGTTGTAAGATTTAGGACAAAGATCTGACTCTCTGACTCAGTCCTCATGACCTGGACTCAGAGGATGAAACAAAAGACACACACACACAGAGTCATTGTCAAGCGGCTCAGGTTACGGTGGTGCGAAACACTGTCTACATCCATGTGCCCAGTGAGAGATTAAAATCGTTTCTAGGAGGTAATAAATGTGTCGGTGTGTTCCTTTTAGCCGCAGGAACATAAAAGCACTGCAGCACCTTGTTTGGACCATGTAGCCATATCTCATGTTCTAATATGGTAAAAGGAGAACTCTGAGTTCCTCCTCCAGGCTTAACTCCCAAACAATGTACCGAGGTGTAAACGCTTCCTGTTGCCACCTTGTCTATGAGGTAGCTGCACAGTGCCCAGCTCCAGTATCCGGTGTCTGAGCTGTGCCAGGATCACAGAAGATTTTTTTTTTTTATAGCAGTACAGCTTTTTGTTTGATTTGATGCACCTCGTGTCACCTGACACAAGAACCTGGAGGGGCTTTACAGGCAAAACCAAACCGAATTGTTCACCAGAGCTGTAAGAAACATTTATAATCTCTAGTCATCATTTCAGTTCCAATAATAAGACTGAACTCTAGGCTAATGCTAATCTTAATCTTCACTCGGAGACATGTCCGTGCGGGTGTCATTAACCTGTTATGACAAGTTCACCTCGAGCTTGAAATTTTGGAAGTTTGTCAAACAAGTTGTTTCAATAGTTGCTTTTTTAGTAGTTCATTTGCACTAAATCGACAGTGACTACTTAAAAAAAAAAGTTAAAATAACAAGCATCTAGTCATTTTAATATTTGATAAAGGTTCCCAAACACCGGGTACCGGCCCACTATGGGGCCATAGTTCATATAGTCACTGTAAAAAAAAATCTTTTTTTTAAATGAACTATTGGAGGGATTATCCTTGACATAATTTTTTTTTTTTCAAAAAATAAGTTTTTGATGAGTTTTAAAAAATAGTGAAAAGGAAAGTTGTTTTTTTTCGAAAAATAAAAGTTTTTGCTGAGTTTTAAAAAATAGTGAAAAGGAAAAAAATTAAGAACTTTCAGATTCTTATTGTAAAAAAAGTGATTAGGTCACATCCCAAAACCTCTCTGAATAATATGTGCAGTTCAGAATCCCTGGTGAGTTCTTTTTTTCCACCACACCTTGACGACAGATCGTGAGGTTTCTTTTTCCACCACACCTTGACGACAGATCCATGAAAACATTTCCTTGGTCTGGTACAAGTGAAACAGAAGTGGTTACAGTCAGACTGATTGAATCCATTAATCTTGTCAAAATCACTGCAGCTCTTTGTCTCTGTCTTTGACACCAGCTTCACTAATGTGGGTGATAATTATGACAGAAAGAAATTCTCTAAACCTGTCTGTTCCTGTGCGTGATTCACTCGGAGACATCTGTTTTTTTTTATCAGAATCACATATATGATTCTATAAAACTGAAGCTCCATTTCTTCTTCTCTTTTGTTTTTCCTCTCGTAGTGATGCCGTCGCCGCAGTTCTTCGACGGCCAGGCGCTGGTTTCCTGGAGCGACCCTGACGTCACCGTGGCCATTCCCTGGTACATCGGCCTCATGTTCCGCACCAGGCAGCCGTCGGGCACTCTGATGCAGGCCAGTGTCGGGCCGTCCTCCACCATCAACCTCATGGTAAGGAATAAATGAATATTGTCGACAATCGGCAGCTCTGTCTTGGACGTGTGATTGTTGACTCGTCTTGTCTTCTACGCAGTTGAGGGAGAAGCAGGTGCGGATGGAGGTGCTGCTGAGGCAGAAGCTCGTGGCGTCACTCAGCTTCTCCCAAGTCCGCGTCAATGACGGGGAGTGGCATCACCTGCTGGTGGAGTTACGGAGTATGAAAGATGGGAAGGACATCAAGTACATGGCCACGGTGTCCCTGGATTATAATATGTACCAGGTACGGACGGTTGGGGGAAAAAAACAAGAACAGAAAATGTCAGCTTTTTGAAAAGTTACAGTTTTTAATTTTTTTAAAATTTTTATTCAGAAATCGGTGGAGATTGGTATTTTGTTTATTTTTTTTATTCAGAAATCGGTGGAGATTGGTAACGACCTGCCAGGTTTGAAGCTGAAAACTCTCCATGTCGGAGGTCTGCCCGGTGAGGGAAACCATGTCAGGAAAGGATTCGTTGGCTGCATACAGGTCAGTGTGTTTGTTGATCGTACGGTTGGTGCGTTGGTTTTTTTTCTTTCTTTCTTTCGCAACCTTCAACACTCGTGTGCTGTCCATCAGGGCGTGCGTATGGGAGAGACGTCCAACAACGTAGCCAACGTGAACATGGCTCAGGGCCTGAAGATCCGCGTGGAGGACGGCTGCGACGTGGACGACCCGTGCGACTCCAACATCTGTCCTGACAACAGCCACTGCAGCGACGACTGGAACTCGTACACCTGCGTCTGTGACCCAGGTGACCCTCACGTTGACCAGCACTGGTCGCTGTGTAAAACTAGCCAACGAGGTCTGGGGTTAAATTCCGGCTCTGATGTCTTGCTCAGGTTTCTTTGGTAAGGAGTGCGTGGACGCTTGTCAGCTCAACCCCTGTGAACACGTCTCCACCTGCGTCCGCAAACCGAGTTCCTCCCACGGCTACACCTGCGAGTGTGGACAGAACTTCTACGGCCAGTACTGCGAGAACAAGTAAGGTCTCCTCCTTATGGATCAGTTTCAACCGATAACGATGACCAATAATTATTGAAGAAAAAAAGATTTTCTCATTCTTCCCACAAGTAGTCTTTGCAGCCCACAAAGGCTCCTACAGGAGGCGCTATTAAGTTTGTGGTTCCTCAGGGTCTCGAACCCAGAATTCTATGGACGTTTTTGGACAAAAATTATTTATTGAGAAAATAATAATTTTCAAGACCTTTTGTATTTTTTTTAAAAAATAAAGTATTAATGCATCTTGAATTTGCTACTACTCGCTTAAAACTTCTGAACATGAAGATTGACAGTGACTTTCTTTTAATCATATGGAAATATTTTAGCTTGAGGTCAAGTCTGTTCTCTTTAAATGTTTTCCACGGAAAGGACAGAAATGTTTCGAAAATGAAAAAAAAAATCTCTATAGACTCTTTAATCCTTGAAAGCAGATTTAAAACTGAGGAAAATTGTGAGTACGGAGGAAAAAAGGTTCAATAACCATATACAATCAGACAGATTGAGAAGATCTGATTGAGAACTTTCCTGAACCCGCACCCGTCCAACACGCATCACTTCCTGTCCGGGCAGGATGTGGGATTCCCTCTCCACGCCCGACTGATCCTCCATAGGTGTTTGGTCTCTGTTGCCCTCATAGTGGCACTTGTCCCCTATCAGATCACATCACTCAGCTGCAGATCGCATCTCGCTTCAGTGAGAAAGGAAGTCTCTGTGTTTGTGTGAATGAGTCACACTCGAGTCATTGACTTCAAACTGTGATGTGAGTTTATTCTAGATCTGAGATCGAAGCCAGCGATTAGAATGAGATCAACCTGGCAGATAGTCAGCTATCAGAAGTTTACTAACATGTGGAAGAAGATCAGGTTTCACTGCACTGTCGCTGTGGTTGAGTAGAAATTACCGCTGTTGTTTATGTGTAAAAAAAAAAAAAAAGTATATATTGAAATGTGCAGAGTCTAATTAAACATGCTTTTGTCTGTAATGTCAGGATAGAGAAGCCGTGTCCCCAGGGTTGGTGGGGCAGTCCCATGTGTGGTCCCTGTAACTGTGACACCAGCAGAGGTTTTAATAAAGACTGCAACAAAACGACTGGAGAGTGTCGCTGCAAGGTGAAAAAAAAATTATATATATATATTTACATATATAAAACATATATATGTATATGTAAACATGTATAGTATATATATATATATGTTGTACTTAAAACATATATAAGTACATATGTGTATAGTATATACATATATATTTTACATATATGTACCTATATATGTATATATGTATGTGTGTATATTTATAGTATACAGTATATATTTATAATTATATTTATACAATAAGACTTAATTTCAAAGAAAAAAGTGAAACAAATTCTTTAAAGTAATGTGACAACAGCCTGAAAAAAACATCCTAGCATGCTAGGAACCTAGCGTCCTTCCACTTCCACTTTTCCTAACAGTGTGTAAACCGTCTCCTCTCCTTCAACAGGACAACCACTATCGCCCCGAGGGTGAGGACACCTGTTACCCCTGTGAGTGTTTCTCAGTCGGCTCCGAGTCGCGGACATGTGACCCAATCACCGGCCAGTGCCCCTGCAAGGGCGGAGTCATCGGTCGTCAGTGTAACCGCTGTGATAACCCATTTGCAGAAGTCACTCAAACGGGATGTGAAGGTACGGGGAAGTTATTCTGGTTTCTAATTGATGCTCAAAAAAAAAAAGAGGTCAATTCTTTCAGCAAGTGAATTTCCACATCGTCCATGTCGGCTCTGTGGCGCAATGGATAGCGCGTTGGACTTCTAGCTAGTTTCAAGGGGAAAGACATTCAAAGGTTGTGGGTTCGAGTCCCACCAGAGTCGTGTTTTTATCCCAAGTTGGGTTGTTTCAGGAATGGCATCCAGATGAAAATCTCCCAAAAAACGAAAGAGCCAGTTGTAAGTGAGAGACTGAATAAATGAATTTACTGTAAAATATATTAGTAATATATTACAAATATAGTTTATATATTTAAAATAAATATATAAAATATATATTTACAATATATTTGTAATATATATTTTACAATATATTGTAAAATATATATTACAATATATTTGTAATATATTTTAATTTATTTCGGGCCACTTAACATTTTTTGATGGGCCTAATTTGGGCCACAAGCCTTAAGTTTGACACTAAATTTCCAGAATGTTTACTTATTTTATATTTACAATATGTTTTGACCAGTTATTCATAAGATTTTCAGTCAGTGGTCACATGGCTGTAGCCATTATCCCTCTGACTGTTCCGGTTGACAGTGTCTCCCAGGGAGCGTTGACAAAGTGTCAGACGGTGACAAACAGTGTCGCTCACATCTGCTGGTGCTGCAGTTGAGCTAACGTCATGTCTTTGTCAGAGTCCAGTCGAGCAGAAGGAGCAAATCCGACTTGTTGGTCGGACTTGGCACTGAGCACTCGGTGCACACACACAAACACACACACACAAACACACACACACACACTACAGTAGAAATAGAGACAAAGAAGTCAAAGCCACAAAGTCCTGCAGAGACACTGAATGTCATTGTCCAACAGGAGGTTCTTCACAGAGTCACAGCGTGTCCGGACTGTAAATGAGTCTTGATCTTTAATTTCACTGGGATTATTTATTATAAATTTAAAACGACTGTAAATGAGACTGGGATTATTTATTATAAATTTAAAAGTTTTTCCAAATAAACTCAGACGAGTAAAAATGTTACACAAACAGTCAGACAGATGATCTGACCGTTTGGTAAAACTGGTTGTAAAACTCCAAAGCATAAGTGTTCAATGATTTATTTTTCACTGCTTTAAGGGAATTTTTGTTTTTTTAATCATCAGTCTGATCTCTCTTTTTCTTTCCCCTTGTATCCCAGTGGTGTATGAAGGCTGTCCCAAGGCGTTTGATGCAGGTATTTGGTGGCCCAAAACCAAGTTTGGAGGCCCTGCAGCTGTGGAGTGTCCCAGAGGATCCGTCGGTGAGAATCGTCCTACGAGACGCTGCAGAGAAACTTAGCATTCACGCTCACTGAGGAGCTTCCTGTTAAGCTCTTTCACTCAGGCTCTGGTCGCCCTCTTTGTAACAGCCGTCGCCATGGCGACCCTCTGTTGTCCTCTCAAAGTCTTGAGGGAATTTCTCACAAACTCTCACTGCCTGTCACCCTCTTCTGGCTTCAGCTGGCAACAGCCGTTTCCCCCTGATGTGACACAGGCTGGAGAATCAGCCTTGTGTCCAGATGAGAGTTAAAATTCACTTAAAATAAAACTGTAATCTTTGAAAAGTCCTTGTACCTCATTCACCTCAAACATATTTAATTTTTTTTTAAAGTCAGTTGTGGTCGTCTTGGACTTCAATTTCCTTCTGCTTCCGTCCCTGTCTTTAGGCACTGCCATCCGCCACTGCAGTGATGAGAAAGGCTGGCTGATGCCGGAGCTTTTCAACTGCACCACCGTCACTTTTGCACATCTGAAGAAAGTGGTGGGTTTTATTTTCATCTTGAAAACCCTTCTGTGTGAGGAGCAAGATTGTTCAGAAGACAGATTTGTTTACAGGACTCGTGTATAGTTCCTCGGATCCGTGTGGTTACTGGGAATTATGTTGAACTACTTTGAATTGTACGGGAGCTGATGTGTCTTAGTGTAATTTGATCACTAGTCTAAAGGAGGTTTTTTAAAGGCTTGCTCCTCCCAAAGCCTCACTAATCCAGGGATTGACTGGTTTCCCTTGTGTGTCGTTGAACCCACTCCGTTTACCCTTTTGCCTCGACTTGCTTTTTTTTTTTTTTCTTCTTCTTCTTCTTCTTCTTCTTCTTCTTCTTCTTCTTCTTCTTCTTCTTCTTCTTCTTCTTCTTCTTCTTCTTCTTCTTCTTCTTCTTCTTCTTCTTCTTCTTCTTCTTCTTCTTCTTCTTCTTCTTCTTCTTCTTCTTCTTCTTCTTCTTCTTCTTCTTCTTCTTCTTCTTCTTCTTCTTCTTCTTCTTCTTCTTCTTCTTCTTCTTCTTCTTCTTCTCCTCTCTTTAAACCGCCCTCTCTCTGCTCCAGCAGAACGAAGACCTGCGTCGCAACAGCTCCAGGATGGACAGCGAACGCTCCAAGAACATCGTGCGCTTGCTCAACAGCGCCACCAGCAACACTCAGCAATACTACGGCAACGACGTGAAGACGGCCGCACAGCTGCTGAACCAAGTGCTGTTGTATGAGAGCCAGCAGGGGGGGTTTGACCTCACCGCCATGAAGGACGCAGAGTTCAACGAGGTACGAAAAACAAATCTGCCACCAATTATCATCATACGGCGGGGATGCCAAACATATGGCCCGTGGGCCAAACATAGGCTCGCTTAGGGGTTCAATCCGGCAATGTTTTTTCTCTGTAACATCAGGACTTTGATTTTTCATACTCAGAACCTGGTGAAAGCAGGAAGTGCCATACTGGACCCTGAGAACAAGGAACTGTGGGAACAGATCCAGAAGACTGAGGGCGGCACCGCACATCTGCTCCGTAACTTCGAGGACTATGCTAACACGCTGGCCCAGAACGTCAGGAAAACCTACCTGAAACCGTTCACTATAGTCACCGAGAACATGAGTGAGTGGACGGATGGAGTTTTACTGTGAAAGAAAATCAGTGTATGTCAATAAACCAGCCTTAAACTCCCTCTACTGTCCGTGTCCTAGTCCTGACAGTGGACTACCTGGACATGTCCGACCCAGAAAAGGCCACGTTACCCAAGTTCCACGACATCCTGGAGGCTTATCCCAAAGAGCTGCGGTCCTCCATCCAGTTCCCACTGTTCAACCTCCGCACTCTGGGCCTCAGAGGTACAGTGGTTAAAACTGTGCTTTCCAAAAAAGAAAAAAAAAAAAGTTGAAAAAACACTTGTTTTATTTTGCGTCTTTCTTCGACCCGACACAGATGAATCCAGCCCAGATCCTCCGACCCAGACCGACCTGCCCGAGGACACAGGGGAGGAGAATCACACGGTGTTGGACAGGAAGCGCAGACACCTGGAGCCGGCTGCTCCTCTGCCTGTTGCCGTGGTGATAGTGTTCAAATCCTTGGGAAAACTGCTCCCGGAGAGATACGACCCTGACCGTAGGAGTCTGAGGTAAAATTAAGTCATGGCCGTTATGTGTCGACTCGCGTGATTTAATCAGACGTTTTCACCACCGGGAGTGTAAACGTGAATTTTGGAGGCTTTGCTCTGCGTTAAGTTATGATTGTTGTTAAGGAGCAACAGACGAAAGACAAACGGTTTAAACTGTCTGTGAACTCCGAGTGCACCGTGGGCCGCAGCATTCTGAAGTACATGAAAGAACTTTGTGTAACATTAAGAATATTTACTGTAACAGCTTATACTAAAGAAACATACCATAATATATGTTGTAGCTGGGGTATAAAATTAAAAAAACATGAATCACAGCCTGTGTCAGCCTGAAACAACCTACCATGTTGTCAGAGTCTGATCTCAGTCCCTTCTGTTACAGACACAGAATAGAACCATCAATTTAGTAATCATCAATTTAACAGTGATCATCAACCTATGGCCTGCGGGCCACATTCAGCCCACTATACCATTATATCAGGTCCACAACTGGATTTAAAAAATAAACAAAATAAAAAATAAACAACATAAAAATAATATTAGACAAGATTGGGTGTTTTTGTTGGGTGTACGGCGCCCCCAGGTGTCTGTCCAGACAAATTCTGTCCCTTCAACAAATTGGTGCTGGTGACCCCTGAATTACAACAGCTGTTTTTACTGCAGTCCAGTGTTAGTAGACCATCCGTGCGTCTCATCTTGTTCCCAGAATCCCAAACCGCCCTGTGATCAACACAGCCGTCGTTAGCGCCACGGTCCACAGTGAAGGTCCGCCCCTCCCTCCCATCCTGGACCCCCCCATCACGTTGGAGTACACGCTGCTGGAGACGGAGGAGAGGACCAAACCCGTGTGTGTCTTTTGGAACCACTCCATCACGTGAGTTGCACAAAAAGGAAATATGTAGCTTCTTTTTTTTTTTAAACAATTGTCTAAATTCCTTTGTCTTTGTGCGACTGTGTGTTTCTCTTCAGGATCGGAGGCACCGGGGGCTGGTCCTCCAAAGGCTGCGAGGTCCTTAACAGAAACAACACCCACATCAGCTGTCAGTGCAACCACATGACCAGTTTTGCCGTGCTGATGGATATCTCCAAGAGAGAGGTACTTCATCTGTGGAGTACTGTGAAGTACTGTAACACGGAACCCGGCTGAGGCACAGGAACCCGCCTGAGGCACAGAACTCACCACTTTACTGACGACATCTTTTATAACTTTATAACATTTTTTCAAACACTTTATTTATTTTTTTAAATCATTCATTTTTTTTACTACAAATTCCATTGATGAAGTGCTCCAAAGTCGAGGCCCGGGGGCCTCTTCCGGTCCATGAACCTTTCACTTTCGGCCTGTGACAAAAATTAGAAAAAGAAAGTTCACTGGATGTTTGCAATATAGTATCTAAAATATTTCGGGGTTTTTTGGTATTAAATATAAAAAACATGTAGCCCTTCAATAAAACGATGTTTGTAGCGTTGGTCCTCAGCCACGTTTTAGTTTGGGACCCCTGCCCCCCAGACCAAAAACGTGTTTTTTATTTATTAACTTTTGAATTAGACCAAAAAAGTGTTTTTTATTTATTAACTTTTGAATTATTTGGTTTATTTTGCTCTAAATTGAGTGAAATATTTTATGTGTACTTACCTAGTTGTCTAAATATGTCTACTTCCTCCCCCTCAGCATGGCGACGTCCTCCCTCTGAAGATCGTCACCTACACCACGGTGTCCGTCTCCCTCACCCTCCTGCTCCTCACCTTCATCCTACTCTGCATCTTGCGCCGGATCCGCTCCAACCTCCACGCCATCCACAGAAACCTGGTGGCGGCGCTGTTCTTCTCCGAGCTGGTGTTTCTGCTGGGCATCAACCAGACTGACAACCCGGTGAGTGTTTTCATTCCGATGGTGTTTGTCACTGATTACTGCAGTAATCATTTGAACTAATTGGCCTGTCTTTCTTTGTACCTGTATTAAATTGTACTTTCAGTGACTTTCACTGGTAATAACTGAGGAGTTGATATTTCATCTTCCCATCAGTGGCAGCCAAGAGTTTTAACCTGTTTACTAAACACGATAGGATTTCACTGGATATATTCTATAAATGAATGAAAAACAAGAACTTAATAACAAGTGTCTGTGTCAGCTTCATGATTTATCATGAATATTAACTACACACTATACAAAGAAATACAGAAATGCTGCTTGTTTTTGCATTTACTACTGAGCTATGTGAAAAAAAAGTTACATTCACAAGTGGGCCCCCTGGAGGCCTCTGCGGACCATCTACGGGCCACCAACCCCCTGTTGAAGAACTGTTTTTTTTTAATATCGCATGTCCATTATATCCTATTACTTTATCATTTCACCCTGTGATTTTCAGCCTTGGGGTCACGTGAAATTCAAATAGGGTCACCTAACAACGAACATGATCAAAAACTATTTCTCGTTGCCAGAAATGTGTGGCGTCAATATGGCGTCACAAGTCAAAAAAGGTCAGGAACCGGTTTTTTAACCTTTAACAAAACAAACTACACGCAATACTACAGTACGACCCAGAGACATGAGCACATGTACCATTAATGGTAAAACTTCAGCGAGTTCGCCGTGTTAGACTGCCAGACGTTTTCCTTAAAATTTGCGTAGCCTACAGGCAGTTAGCTAACCAGGTGTTGACACGGGCTTTACCAGGCTTAATGGACCGTGGCTTACCTGTGAGACGGTCTTCATCTGACAGGTGAGACGTCGTTTGAAGCTCAGCTGATGACTGTCATAGTTTGGAATGCTCTTGTTACCAGAGCTCTCTCTAAGTAAACATAACCTGATACAACCAGTTTGTTTTACACTTGACAGCCGCGGTGACTGTCACCGCGAAACAGTCGTCCGCTGAGGCAACGCTTCTCTGATTCGCTGAATAAAATACTGTCACTGTAAAATATCACTTAAGTACTTTCAAAGTACTCTTAAAGGGAAGATTCTCCAAACCATTAGGGGGTGAGGGAAGCGGGGGTCAACGTCATTGGGTGAAGGTCACATGCACTTGGAAGTGTTTGTTTGTTCAACCTCCCGAGCCCAAAGTTAAGAATCCTCTCATTTTGCTGTGTTCCAGTTCACAACAAAGATACGTGTGCACGTGTGTTCCAGTAAAGTAACACATTTAGGTGTACACAACACACACATTTACACCCTCTGTGGGCCAGTAGTAGTGCGGACATGCCGTGACTGGTCCCTGTCTCCAGACAGAGACCTTGCGGTGGTAGACCTTGGCAAAGGTTTCCCCCGAAAACGACTCTTTTAGTTTTCATTGGCTAAACGTCTCTCATATCTGTGGTCGGAAAAAACCCCCCAAAAAAAACATCATTAATCTCTGGGTTGACGTGGAAGCATGCTTCTTCTGTTGTCGTTAATGCGTTGAGGTTTGGAAAGATGAAATTCCTGAAGAATTCTCGGGGAGACGTTGATGACAGATTTAATCAGGCTGGTCATCGGATACGCTATTTTGAAAGCTCTTTGTTGTGCGATGCCACTTGATATACAGTATATTCTGGCTGCACTGTTTTCGGAATTGAACCAGCACCTCAGGACCGTGACAGGTACGATGTCTGATTTGGTCAGAAACGGTAAAAAGACGGTGGACGGATCTGATTCAGGCGGACGATCGATGGTAGAAAACACCCGACTGTGCTGTTGTCCAACTGACTGTCTGGATGAACCAGGTGTCAACAGTCTTCCATGAAGACGTCACCAGATCACGGGCTCCCACCGTCAGCACAGTGTAACCTAATAACTGCTTGTTCTGCTGCTGATTTACTGGAACAATCAGATTTTGACGCCCTTTTATTGCTCTGCAGCGCCCCCAACCATTAGCCACGGAGTCAGACCATCAAGTCAGCGATAAATTTACAGGTTCTACTTAGGTTGTGGGTGTTGTTGTTTTTTTTTTTTTTTTTTCTGTTGTGACTCAGTGTTTTGGCTGGAACGAGGGGACTTACACACCGACTAACCACAGGTTGTGTTTCTGCACATGTGTACACTTTTGTCGAGTGTTGTCGAGTGTGTACGCCAAGTCTCCAGGTAGTTATTAACAAAGAGGACCAGAAGGTTTGAAGCTGAAGTTTTTTGTTATTTGCTGACTTTACAGCAGGGAGAGGACCAGAAGGTTTGAAGCTAGTTTTGTTATTTGCTGACTTTACAGCAGGTGTGTTTCTGACATGGCTATAGTTGTGAGGAGATTTTTTTTTTTAAATAATAGAATATTCTATTGTTGTGAGGACACGTTGTCCTTCTGGGGACATTTTGAGATTGACATCTGAGATTAGAAGTGGGGTCAGATTAGAGACAAAAAACCAGTGTGTGTGTGTGTGTGTTTATCAGAACTGTGGAATTCTGTCAGTGTGTGCCCAAGGCCTTCTGCAGGATGATTTATAACTCTCTCTCTCTCTCTCTCTCTGCCTCCCTCCCTCAGTATCTCTACAGTATTCAAAGTACTTGTATATTCCCTGATTTACTGCATTCCTCAATTACACCAACAAACAAAGGAAACTGGGAATAAAAACGTTTTTAACCGATTCAAACCAGTTTTCAATAATAAAAAAGTCTTTGGAGTGTTGAAAATAATTTAACACAAAGTTGTAGCAAATAGTTAAGTGATACTTTTGAGAGTTAGAAATTAGACTAGCATTTGGCACATTCTGTATCTGAGTACAGTATGGTTTTGTTTTTTGGAAAATGTCTTATGTTTGAGACTTTTTTCTGCAGTAAAAGCCTGAAAAAAAAAGTGTTCAAAATAAATTCGTAACCAAAATTAGAATAAGTTAAAAAAAATTACTACAATGGTTATTAATGATTTATCAAAAAGAGGTGGACAATTGTTGAGTGGAAGAAAAAAATATGAAATTTGTTCAACATCAAATCATAACCAAAATTACAATAAGTTAAAAAAAATGACTACAATGTTTATTAATGATTTTTGAAAAAGAGGTGGACAATTGTTGAGTGGATCCCTGAAGGAGAGACATTTACCCTCTGCTGGTCAGCAGTGGTATTACAGCCGAAACAGAAGTGAGGTTTGTTTAGTGAAAATGTTAACCTTAAATATATATATATAATAAGTTTTATTGTATACAGTTTATAGTGAGGTGCATTTAAAGGTAATTTATGGACTAGTTAGAAGAAGAATCTGTGTAACCTGGATTTATGACGTTAACAATTAAAACAAAAACATGTTTGAAGTTTGTAATTTCAGTTTGCAATTTTTCATCTAACAACATTTTCCGCTAAACAAAGCAGGCTAATCCTTAACAACTCCTGGACACCTCTGATTGGTTCTCCTAATTCATTTATTCATTGACATATTTATGTAGTTATTTACTTGTGTATTTATTTAATTCTGAAGTTCCAGGTTTGATGGAGACACAAAGTCGTGTTGAACTTTTACTCTGAGCTCAGACCCTGACTCTCTCTCTCTCTGTTTTTTTTGTCCCACTGCAGTTCGTGTGCACAATCATCGCCATCCTCCTCCTCCCGCTGCAGTTTGTGTGCACAATCATCGCCATCCTCCTCCATTATTTCTACATGTGCACCTTCGCCTGGATGTTCGTAGAAGGCCTGCACATCTACCGCATGCTGACGGAGCTGCGCAACATCAACCACGGCCACATGAGGTTCTACTACGCCATGGGCTGGGGCATACCAGCTATCATCACTGGTGAGACCAACACACACACACACACACACACAGACAGAGATAGTACCTCCTCAGAAACAGAGTAATTACGGCAGCAGTTTGTCACCGGAGCTTCGTGCTGTGACTCGCCTCTGATCTGAAGACGCCGTGGGAAAACGATTGAACTAGAGATGGATGAAAAAAAAAGTTAAAGCAAACGCTGCGTCATATCAGTCGTAGTCATATCATGTCAGGATAACGACAGGAATGGCTAAGCCAATGTTTTTCAACCTTGGGGTCACAACCCTATGTGGGGTCACCTGGAATTCAAATGGGGTCACCTAAAAATTTTTTTTTTAAATGTATTGTTGATTTTTTTAAATTCTGTTTAAAACACCACACTAATTTTAACACACTAATCTGAATATTCTGGTATTTGCAACACAGTATAACAAACATGGTCAAAAGCTAATTCTAGAATTCTTTGTTTTTAAATATATTTGTCGCATTGTTTTGTTTTGTTTTTTGGGACCCTCTTTCCTTGGATTTAAATTTAAATAACAATATTTTTGTAGAAGTTAAGGTCACGACAAAGGGCAACATTTGCATTATGTCTATGGAAAGAAGCAGCGTGTGTTGTAATTTCTGAATTACAACACAAGACAGAAAGAAATTTCTGTCTTGACAAGTCACACACTCACACCGACTGATTTGTTATTCTTTTCCAAAATGCAGGATTAAACTTCAATAGTCTCACGTTTTCCTTTCTTTCTCGAACGCCTGTCAATCTGAACACATTTTGTTCCTCGTCCATATTCTGACTAATGAAACGGATGAAGAGCGCTGTGATGCACTGACATGCTGCTGCAGTGCTGGTTACAGGCAGAGCTTACTCCACTGGAATTTGAATTGCGAGATAAGGATGAGTAAGAGAGAGAGAGAGAGAGAGAGAGATCCGAGGGAGACAGTGAGAGTGGGACGTCGGTGGGAAAACGGAAAGAGAAGGAACAATTGGACGATGTCCAGGATTTGTCATATCTTAATTATTGTGTTCACGGAACTCTTTGTTTCTTCCTGTAAGAAAGTAACAGTGAGGAGGAGTAAAGATGGGACAGGAAGTTCAACAGACCTGACTAATAAAACTGTATGTGTTGTATGTGAACAGGTCTGGCAGTCGGTCTGGATCCTCAGGGATACGGGAACCCGGATTTCTGTTGGCTCTCCGTCCACGACACCCTCATCTGGAGCTTCGCCGGACCCATCTTTGTCGTGGTCCTGGTATGGACTTTGACGTTCAAGCTCAAGCTCTTAAAAACATTGAGAAGTTCTTTATTAATCTTCTCAGTGCACAAACGTCAAACTAAGTCACTCTGTGTCTGCTGCGCTCCTCAGGTCAACATCGTGATCTTCATCCTGGCTGCCAAAGCTTCCTGTGGACGTAGACAGAAGGCGATGGAGAAGTCGGGAGCCATGTAAGTTCTACAGTCACAGCAACGGCAACGACGCTAATGTCAACCTAGTGGTAGCATCAAAAGTCCATTTTTGAATCTTGTCCATTCATCAAACCCAACTATATTTTTTGGAGGGCTAGAGTTTTTCTGCACAGACACCTTTGAGGCCGGACTCTTCAGAAAAAATGAAATAAAAACATATTTTGGTCTAACATTATTATTTCATGCAACCAGTCGTGGGCCGGATTGGATGCTTTAGCGGGCCGGATTCAACCCACAGGCCTCCAGTTGATAATCACTGATTTAAACCATTTGTCTCTACAGGATGTACTTTGATGAGTTTCTGTCAAACTTTTGTCCTTTAAAGTAGAAATAGAAAAAAAAAATCCACTCTGTGTCCTTCCTTAACTTTATTTATTTCTGTCAAACTTTTGTTTTTTACAGTAGAAATAGAACTCAAAAATTCACTCTGTGTCCTTCCTTAACTTTATTTATCAGAAATATATATATTGTTATATATGATTTGTAAATATATATATATGTCATCTTTGTGTGTTTCTCTCAACAGCCCTGCTCTTCGAATGGCCTTTTTCCTTTTGCTGCTCATCAGCGCCACCTGGTTGCTGGGCCTCATGGCCGTCAACAGCGATGTGATGATTTTCCACTACCTTTTCGCCGTCTTCAGTTGTCTCCAGGTAAATAAACCATAAACAGCCATGAACGGTGGTTCATAACCAGCCGGTTTGATTGGTTGACAAGATAGAAATACCTTGAATCTCATTCGTTGTTTCCGTCACAGGGAGTTTTCATCTTCTTCTTCCACGTCGTCTTCAACAAAGACGTGAGGAAAAACCTGAAGAACGTCTTCACAGGAAAGAAAAGCATGCCGGACGAGTCCAGTACTACCAGGGCGTCTTTGCTCACGGTGAGTCTGGACGATGGAGTTGATATGAAAAAAAAGTAGAATTAGACACCCAGTGGCCATATAACTGTATTACATTAGAAATATTTCAAGAAAAGGTAAAAAACAAAACAAAAAACAAAAACAGTTACTGTCCTCATCATCATCTTTTTTATCACGCCCCCTAGTGGTTTTGTAAAGAATTTCGTGATTTCTTTCCAGAGCACATTACACTGAATTTTCTCCTGTTTTATTTCTTGTTTTTTTTATATATTTTTTTAATAATTTTATATAATATTTTTCATTATATAAAAATAATTCAATCACAACCAAAACTCCTTTTATATTCATTCACAGCGTTCTCTCAACTGCAACAACACGTACACCGAGGACGGACCGCTGTACCGCTCAGGCATCGGAGAGTCCACCGTGTCCCTGGACAGTACGATCAGGTCAGCCAAGAGCCGCAGCAGCTACCTGGCTTACACACTCAGGTACAACATGCTCACTGACTGCATGGCTGCATTTACTACTTTGCTGCATGATGTGTGTGTGTGTGTGAGTGCGCAGAGTTGGGTTTTCTTGTCTTTTCCTATTTTCCCTTCTCCACGTGTATCTGCTGGTGCATTCAATGTCTCACACATACTAACACTTATAAACACACACACACACACACACACACACCGATCTTTGAGATATGTTTCTTTCCTGTTTTTCTCTGCACTTTGAGGACACACACGTTTCTTGGCCTTTACCTGAATGCTGCCCCCTTGCGGTACATGCTGAACTGTCACATGCTCGCATGAAACCACAATCTTGAGTTACGTCAGCGCATGATGCACGGCTTTGATGCTAAATGCTACACAAATGTACAAACACACACACACAAACAAACACTCGGAGGGAACCGGACAGAACAGCACCACGGTGTGGTCAGAATGAAGTGTTGAATAAACTGATGGTTTGGAGTTTTTTTTAAAAGATTTTCCCAAAGAAAATATTGCTATAAATAATGATTTAAATGTTGTTAAAATATTTCTTGTCAACTCAACCGTAAATTTTAGGACCCTCCCTCTTACTTCTGCGGACCCTCTAGCGCTGGATGACTGTAGATAATTCAAACCTTAAGTCATTATTACTTCCTCGTTTTTCCGTCAAACGTCGAGAACTCGAGTCGAAGGACAGGAGCGTTGACATCATGAGGGACGGCCCCACAGACGCGTTTCATCTCCGACTACATTACCTGTGTTTTCACAGTATCAGGAGTGTGTTTTGGTTCGCTCGGAGTGCTGTTACATGTACCTGGTGTTTTAAAGACTTTTAACAGAATCTAGTTTAGGTCTGACTGTACGCCTCGACTCATAAAGCTGTCAGCCGGGGTAATGCGACCTGACACTGAGGGTCAATGAAAGAGAAAATTGCCAGCAGCGAGCCGTGTGGCGTGCTGCCTCTCTGAGACAGAAGGAGGGAAAAGAGGAGCAGTGGAAAGGGTGGGAGACTTGAAAGGGGAGGGAGATGAGACTGGACTTGTTGGAAGGCAGCAGAGACTGTATCCACTTCTTCCCTGTGGCTGTTGGACAGTTTTCAGCTGTTTTTAAACGCCTCACTTGGAGCAGACATTCAGAGTTTCCGTAGCATTTATTCACCCTTCAGAGAGCTGCCTCCCTGTGTCCCAGAATAAACAAGCTGCAGGTGTTTATGAGTCATTAATGACACATTACAGGAGTTTAATATTTGATTAGTCAAAATTTATTATTTTTAAAAATGTAGTCGTTTGTGACGCATCACCAAAAGAAAAAAAAGTGATGCAAAATTGATGAAATCAAGTGATCGTTTAGTTTGAATTGACTGACTGTTTAGTTGAACACTACGCTGAAATATTGGCAGGAATTGAAGAAAGACACAAACAAACAAGGATTAATTATTTACAGTTGATAACTAAGTTTTCAGTACAGACTAATGATCTCTCATAGCATACTAGTGTGCCGCAGTCCAGTGGTTGGGAGGTACTGGAAGTGTATCACGCCCTCTGCTGGGGATTATCTAAGATACCTCCATTAAACTAAAAAGGACTGTTTTATTTTGGGGTTTTTTTAATTTTAAGTGAACCCTAAAGCGACAACGGAAGCTCCGCCCCCAACTTCCTGCTCTCTTCCAACTCCTCTCCAACTACCTAAACCCTGTCTCTCTTTCTCCCTGCTGTCTCTGTCTTCTTCTTTAAAGGGAGGAGGCCGGTCAGAAGCCCAGCGGCTCCTCAGGAACGGCCAAAGGACGCACAGATCTGGACGGACCTCTGTTCCACAGGAACGGAACCAAAGGAGACGGTGAGTTCACCGCCGCTTCCTACGGTTCTCAGCCTTAGTTTGAGCTTCGTCGCCTGATTTCCTTCTTTGTCTGCCATCAGACTCGGACTCGGACAGCGAGCTCTCCGCGGACGAGCACAGCTCCTCCTACGCCTCCTCCCACTCCTCCGACAGCGAGGACGACGACATTGACATCAAACCGAAGTGGAACAACGAGCGACAGCCCGTCCACAGCACACCTAAAGGTAGGAGCAGTGGTTCTCAAACTGTGGTATGTGAATCACTTGTGGTACTTGAGCTCCCTCTAGTGGTATTAGGGGGTCAGATTTTTTTTTTAAATGGAAGAAAATCTGTTCAGACAAATACAATAAATATTTATAATAAAAATGTAATTTTAATTCATTAATTAAACTCAAAATAACTCACTTTTTTTTGTTTATATAAACATTATAATGTTTTTTTTTTCTTTTTATTATATATAAACATTATAATGTTTTTTTTTTCCCTCTCAGTGGATTCGTTGCCCAATCACATGAAGCCTTACTGGCCCACAGAGGCCACCACGGCCAGTGACAGCGAGGACCCCGGGGGGGCCGAGAGGCTGCGGGTGGAGACCAAGGTGAATGTGGAGCTACATGCTGAGAACAAGCTCAACCACACAGGGGACAGAGACAGGGAGGTGCTCCAGGAGAGGGACAAGCAGACGCCCAGTAATGTGAGAGACACAGCGCCCCCTAGCTTGCCTAACAGCAACCACCAACCGGAGCAAAGAAAAGGTAGGAGTACGGGATATTGTCGGATGTCAAACAGTAATAAACTGTACTGTTGAAGTAACACTGGAACTGTTTGTTGGACTCAGGCATCCTGAAGAACAAAATCAGCTACCCTCCCCCGCTGACCGACAAGAACATGAAGAACCGTCTGCGGGAGAAGCTGAGTGACTACAACTCCCCCACCATCACCTCCACGGCCCCCATCAACAACAACACCACCTCCTCGCCGCCTCTGTCCTCCATCAACATCATGACCCCCGACTCCCGGCCGCCCTCGCTGGCCTCCAACGACGGCGGTCGTCAGGTGAACCACGAGAACAGCACCACCATCATCAAACCACCCATCAGCCCGCGACCGCCGCTTCCTGACGGGCCCCCGACTGCGGACATCTACCGGGAAACGAACGGGGGGGTGGCCATGCACTTGAAGTCAGGGACGGTGAATGGAGGCAACGAGTCTGACTCGGAGTGAGTGCTGCGATATGAATTATACATCATGATGGAGATGGAATAAATAAATGAATAATGTTTTAGAACTGCATTAACATTAACGCCCTCGTCCGACTCATCTGTCGTCTTTTCACAGTGGCAGTAACGAGACTTGTCTTGTCTGGTCTTTTCACAGTGGCAGTAACGAGACTTCAATCTGACCTGTCGGGGAAAAATAAAGCCAACAGGAGAAGAGAAGAAGAGCCGAGAGTGAAAGGAAACACGGTGGAATAAAGAGTGAAAGACTCGACAAAGAGAGAGAGGAAAGAGGGAGATGTTCTTCCCCGTCCCTCCTCCCGTGTTCCTTCTCTCTGGAGAGCAGTATTAATTGCAGACTTAAAGACTGGGCGGAAAATCAAAAGAAGCGCAGATAATGAAAAGATGTGAGAAACGAAAAAAAAAAGGGAAAAAAGAAAGTGTTGAACTGAATCAAAAGAGGATTAAAATAAAAAACCTGGAGCCACATGTGCCAAAAACCAGTGTGGACGTAGGAGACGAGAGTCGATGGAGTCGTTCTGGTCCGGACAGAAAAAAAATAAAAATAAAAAAACACCAAGACAATAAATGTGAACTTCTGACCTACGGTGGAGAAACACTGGGGTTCAATCACCGTGCATGAACCGTGCACGTGTCCGGTCGATCGTCCTAAAGGATTATCAAAGCACTGCAGCGGACGTCGCCCTGACACCTCACTGAGACCCAACCAGGCGTTGGCGCTAACACTCCCCAAGTGCTTTTCTCTCCAAAAAAGAAGAGTTTCCGCCTGTGCATTCAGTCCATGTAGAGTGTAATTACTGTGTAGATATCGTTGAACGTGAAGAAGAAAATGATTTATTTTGTATTTCAGCTGTAGCAAAGGTCAAAGGTCGACACCTACGTCGGAATCGCTTTCCTGCTGTCACGTCTCGTTTTCATTTCCTGCTTTAATCGACTGAATACCATAAAGCAGGGGTCTCAAACTCCCGGCCCGCGGGCTACTCTCCGCCCACATGCGATTCGTAATAAGATGTCGATACAAAGTAATACCCCCCCCTTGTGGTTAGTTTGGTTCTTCAGTGACATGGCAGGGGCAACAGTGCCCCCTCCAGGTTATTTTGAATTTGAGACCCCTGCAATAAAGTGTGTGCCTTTGAGTCTCAATCCAGAACACATGCTCACATACTGACCCCTAGTGGAGTTTCAGTTGAAGTGACACACACACACACTGTTGGTATTCTGATACAAATGGTTCTGTATGTATTATGGGTAACCACAGTCTCAGAACACAGCGTGTGTACAGAGAAACTGTAGTACTTGGAGTAGAATTTACTCTGAACTCAAGTTTCCTCCACGGAAAGCGACACATTTTTGACTCCAGCGACTTCTTGAATCTCAGACTTCATTTTATGAAGTCGTTCTTCGAATAGTCCGCGTTGTCTTTTCATCCAGAGTGAAATCTTCGCCCGCTCTAATGCACTTCTGGTCCGACACAGTACCACTTCCTGTAAGCCTCTTTCAGAGCCACTGAACTGTCCACTCCACTCTCAGTGTTCCGCCCTCACGCAGTCCATGCTGCCGATAAATGTCCTCGTCGTTTTATTGATCTGAGACACTGGAAATGTTTTGTATCATAATGTATATTTATTTTTTATGGTTTTCAGACACTGGAATGAGAAGTTGATTGTGACTGTACAATTAAAGATGACATGATGACCTTTTTAAAAAAAACTAAAACTTTTTTTTGTCCTTCATTTACAGCACAGTAACATTTACCAGTTACAGGTTGATATATCGTTTCTTCTCGTCTTCACTTAACTTTTTTTTTTACCACATGTTTTACATTTTTCCCCCCACAACTCACCTCACTGTAACACCCTACACTTTCCCCCGGCATTCCGAGGAATTCTGGAAAAACAGCCATATGTAACAGATTAGAGGAGACACTCAGCGGCGGCTGTAAATTGAGGAATTAGTAGAGAGGAATACGTGGCACGGGGGGAGAGAGGGGGAGTGAATTATATCACAATGCTGCATTAAATCCCCCGTTCTCTCTCCCCATTTTTCAACACAGATAAGCCAGGTGAGTTCGTCTGAATCATATATTACATTGAAATACAGAAGCACATTCCAGGTTAGCTCAAATAATTTATTCCTAATAGGATTATTTACAGCAGCACATTCCAGGTTAGCTAAAATAATTTATTCCTAATAGGATTATTTTATAGTTTATTTTACTTTGGTTTATATCAACTCAGGACTCGTCAGTTTTTTAAGTCCCTATTTTGCCAACTTCCTTAAATAAAAAAAAATCAAATTCCCTAATGTGCCACAAGAGGGAGCCACAGTACCACTTTGGGTACGCGCACCATGGTTTGAGAACTTTTTTTCTTTATTACAGCAGACATCCTGTCCAGGCCTGTGCCAGGTCTGTCATCGTAAACACATACAGTAGAGTTTGATGCCAGTGCCAAGTCAATGATTGTAATTGAGTTGGAGTGAAAGCTTAGAAGAGTGAGTCAGGTTTCACAGGGTGGTTTGTTCTCCCCTGACTGGAGGCAGTTTCGCTGGAGGTGACACAAAATGCAAATATGAATGAGTTGGGACCAGGAGAAATTCCCTGTGTAATTTTGGCAGGATTAGTCATAATAATGATGAAGTGTATGTGTAGTCAGTTGATGGTAGTTCTGTGTTCAAGTTCACTACATCACAGAGATTAACACCATACCATAGTGATGTTCCAACTATCCAACTAGAACCTATTAAGGAATCGTTGTGTTAGAAATAATACCGATGTTATCTGGTGCATATGTTACGGAATGAAACCCGAGGAGTCATCGGAGTGATCGTCAGACCGACCGTCTGCCTTCGTCGTTATCTTTGTTCTATCACAGCCAGGCAACTGAATAATTCACACTCACGAGAGCTGCAGTTGGCATGATAAAGTTATTTGAGCAGGACTAGACATGCAGTAGAGGGGCGGAATGGCCAGTACATTTCTGCCATCTAGTGGACAATTGTGAAAACTGCAACTCTAGCCCGCCTGATCTGTGAAAAGACATTCAAAGTTCCAACGCGCATTCCAAGCGGGAACCGCGTGCATGTAATGATAGCGCGCGCACGACACGTACTGAGAGAAGCTGCGTGTGATACTGTGCGCGCGCATCAGTATCTTAAAAGAGCGCCCGAGTCATACGGCATCCTGATTGGTCGGTTTTGTTGAGTAGCCCAATCAGATTTCAGCTTGTTTGCATTACTTCCGGAGAGTTCAGTGTGACGGCAGAATGGGTTAAAAAAAGTAAATATAAGACGTAGTTGAGTTACACTAAAGTGAGACCGTGTCTTTATGACATGTATTTTTTTTACCACAGTGATTTTTAAAACTAGCCATGTCGGGTTGAGTGATTGTTAGAGGCATGTTGAGGTGAGTTTGCTGTTATTTTATCGCGAGACCTTTGTTTGGCACTTTCGACACACCAGATAATTTAAGACGAGTAATTGTCTGGATAGGAAATTGGAAAAGTTGGCTCGAAATTAAATTCCCGGTAGAATCCTTAAAAAAAAAAAAAAATCAAACCAAAAACTAATATTAACGATGTTCTTCGTCAGCAAGCGCGAATGCCTTAATATTTCTAACCGGTGTATCGACAACAAAAAATAAATAATAAAATGTATTTACAAACATATATATATCTACATCTACTGCGGTGCATATATATGCGTGTAGATATTTTTCTTTTTTGGATTGTATGCCAAATCATCTCTTTTAAATTTTTAATTTTCATAGACTTCAACGGTTTCTGAACGCAGATACATTCTCTTTGTGGAGGAGCCGCTGTGAGTCACACCCCCCTTTGCTGTGGAGATTTTTGAGTATTTTTGCATACTATTTTGCAACAGCAACCTCATCGCCCATTTTTTTCATTCTCCCAATTGTTCTGTAAATAGCTCTGAATGTGCTGCCAGTGCTAGTTGCATAAGACCTGCGGTTGTGCAATCCAGTAATATGGCTTGTTTGGGATTAAGAGGGAAGAGAGTTTCTAAATTAGAGCTGATGGGAGCGGGGGGATGTGTTTGGGAACCTCGTCGCTATTCTTTTCCTAAAAGACATTCCTAGAGGCTCACAGGCCAAAAGTCAATTTGTTTGTTCACTGTGTAGATACGATATAATGGAGGGGAAATTCAACCATCCATCCATCTAAAAGCGGCAGTTCCATCAACTACAGCCCACTTACAAACGGCTGTGCAAACCCACTGTGGTTTTCTCTACGGAGATTGAAGTATTTACAGACAAACCTTTATTTTGTTTTTTGTTTTTCCCCTCAGTGATACAGTTGGCAGCTGAAAAAGACAAAAAGCCTCGAACAGACTAGGACAGACAAACAGGCTGTTGTCCATTATTTCTGGTCCAACAGGCATGCTTTTACTGTGATTACGTAATGGGGATTTAGAGATGTTTCCATAGTGGGTCAGTTTTTGAACAGATATGTTCTCCAAAGAGTAAACATAAACAAAAACACATTTTTTGGCAAGACAAAGTCTCCTGTTTTTTGTGTCTTTAAATAATTATTATTTACAGATATGTATAGTACACACTGGTTCCCAAACATTTGAAGATTAACCCCAGGACAGCCCCCCCCCCCCCACAGCTAATGCCTCAAAACATCCTTTAAAACATTAATTAAAACAGAATTCCTACAAAATGACTATTGTCTTTAAAAAACAAATAAAGTTAGAAATAAATGCAATTTTCCCAAGTGGACTCAAAGAAAACCCACCGTGTCATAGTTTGATGCCCCTGCAGGGCCCCGCCCTCAGTTTGGGAAACCACTGTCTGATGCAAAAAAAATAAAAAAATAAAAAATATTATTTATTTATTTATTTGTATTATATTTCCATATAATATATGGATTATATTTGTAAATGTATGCTGTTTTTGCTCATTTAAATCATTTCACAACAATAAGTATTTCACAATACTTATTGTATTATTTTCTCTTTAGGTAAAAAGTGTTCCGAAATAATTTCCCATTTCCCACTTATACCACCTACTTTGACCACCATGTGGAGTTGTAAGCAGTGGCACAGGGGTGACTTGAATCCGGTCGAAGTTTATGGCGCTATTTTCATCGGCAGAGTTAGCTTAGCCTAAGCTAGACTTTGTGAAGTATCATCATCGTACAATGGAATTAATTAAATTATTTTTTCTCTTATAAAGTTAATATCAAGGGCAAACAATATAAAGTCCACGTGGAATGAGTTTGGAGAATTCCATCCCAGTGCTGCAGACATTTGCCTATACCAGGCATGGGCAAACTAAGGCCCGTTCAGCTGTACCACGTACCCACGTTTCCCCAGTACATTTTAGCATTTTACCCTTTACACATGACTTTTATCATCTTTTATTTCATGTCATTTAACTTAGTTCACACAAACGCTCCACCTATATACACAAACATATACAAGAATAATTTAAAAAATATTATTTTCCTTTATTAAATTTAATGTTATAATTTAATAGTCTTTGATGAAGAGAATGAAGATGATTTTTCTTCCACATAATGAACTCACAAAGTGTCCCACTCATACATCACTTTTATCGATTCCGACCAGGTTCCTCTACTGCTGTAATATCACAATATACTGCAGCGTAATGTTATAATCGGGTCACAGTTGGCCCACCTGTTGTGCATAATTTAGTGCTACTTGACAGAAACAGCCACTGGGCGGTGGTAGGGAGCGGGCTGTGGTTTGTTTTTCAGTCTGAGGCGTCACCTCCAACGGCTAACGGCCCCTTTAAGAAGGCGCCAGCGAACACTGACGAAACTTCCTCGGCCCTGCTCCTCTGCTCACATCAACAAGAGACTCGGAGACAAAGCTGCTTTCGGTGCTGCGCACGACTACTGTCTTTACAGGGAGGAGGAGAGGGGGCGCAACTGGTATTTTTTTTCCCTCCCCCATTTTCTTGTCCTCCTGTCAGTGAGCTACTGTTCAGCACTCAGCAACAGACGACGTGCAGCCGAGGAGAAACGAGTGGATTTGTTGTAGGGATGGACGGACCCAGTGTTCGGGTTTCGCCCCGACTCTGGCGCTAATGTGGACTCGGTCGCGAGCAGCAGGTGTACACAAGGATAAAGCAGACACAACGCAATCTCTGTGTTCATGAAACTTTGTTACGATTTACGTGCTGGGTAAGAACGATATTATTTTCTACTCTTGTTGTTGAAATGTGTACAGTTTAGCCCGAAATGCCTTATGTAATCACGCGGCTCCTCTAGGGTCATTAAAATGAAGGTAATTTGATTTGTGTCATGTCTCCTGGTGTTACAGGTAATTAGGTCCGGCGACACTGACAGAAGGAATAGGGAAAATATGTGAAACAGCGCTGATTACATCGAGCTTTACGATATCATCGCCACACTGAAATACCGTGCTACACGCAGACCAATTAGACCTTTCGAAATCGGTTCAATTATGTCCGAATTGACGTTGCACGTTTTTTCATAACAGAGAAAACGGGACTTTTATTATTTAAATAATTCCATCCATAAGCTAACTACCGTTAGCATTAGGTTTTATAAATCAATGTTTCAAAAAAATGTAACAGTGTTATAAAACAATGACACAGGTGTGCTATAATTTACAAACTTTTAGTGTAATTACTGGAAAATGCAGCAAATATCTCAATGTCACAATGCATTTCCGTTTTGTTTTTTTAAAATACGTAAGCTAGTAAAAATTGCTAATGGATGTAATTCTTTGTAGCCTAATTATCAGGTGATGACTTTTCATGATTAGCTTAGCCTAATAATCAGGTGATGACTTTTCATGATTAGCTGTGTTTTGGTCGATAGAAATGTCATGTATCGTAAAAACAAAACAAAAAATCTCAAATGTCTATTGTAATTATTTAAGGCAAAAACCTTTAAAGGTGAAACTGTCACTTTTAATAAATTCTGATTATTCATTAGGTCATTAAATGGAAGCTTCAAGAACCCCCCCTCACCCTTGACGTACAGCGGTTGACCCTTTAACCCCATTTACTAACTGTCAGGAATTAATCATTGTGTTTAATCATTGTGTTTTTTCCAAGGGAAAAATGTTTAAATTTATTTCTGTTGGATTGAGTGAAAATTGCGTAATGGCATTTGTGTCACAACTGATAACAAAAGTCACATTCCGTTGTCAAAAGCTTGTCTCCAAATAATGACGCAGGTTTTCAGCGTCCATTTTCCTATTCTTCAGCACATTTCAGGCCGTTACAGGATCCGTATTTAATCTCTGCTCCGAGGAACACCAACTTGCAGTTTTGAAATTCGAACTGTAAATTGCCATAAGTGCACCATAGCTATTTGATGCAAGGCAAGAAATATAATACCTAATTCAATGTCTGGCCAAAGTCACATACATAATGTAACTAAAGGTGGAGAATAATATCTTCGGTGGCTGTCACAATGCATCGTAGTGGAAAATATATATTTTTTTGCATTATTGGTATAAAAGGATGTTTAATTAATCTGTCGTCCTTTTTTTATTCGTCATGCTAGCGAGGACAGGCTAATGTGACCTGTTATAACGTGATACTTCACAAAGTTGAACCTCGATTCATCACCGTTATGCTTAGTCACCAGTGTCCATGGGGGGGAGGATCGTTATTGACCACTTGTAGGAGAAACAATTGATTTGGTGATATCTCTGTTGATGTAATTTCATGGTGTTATGGTAACAGCGCTGAGTGATGTCACAGCACGGTAGTCAGGGTGTGTGAAATTGGCATCACAGTTGGACAAGAAAAACAAAATGTTTTCATGCTGTTTTATCTCTGCCGGCGTGTTTGGAAGTCTAAAAAAATGTAAAATACTATAACATTCCTCCAAACTCGGGTTTTTGTCAGTGCTTTGGGAAAGAAAAAAAGAAGTTCCCTGGGCAATGATAAAAGCATAACAGCTAAATGTCACATGCATAATTTATATTATGACAGAAACACAAACTGAAAGAGTCACATTTAAAAGCAGCACAGATTAAAAAGACACAGATTTATGTCCTATATACAGTATATATTTCTCTCTTTTATTTTTTTTCTCTAACACACCGAGAGGAATGTTTTTCATTACCTCTGTGTTCTTTTGACTCTAAAGTTGCATGGTGTATAATAAAATTGCAGGATCTCTAGGAGACATTTCTAGTCGGTTCCACTAAAAATTATGATCCTTGTCTTCTTTCATAACTTCATTTCTAATGTCTGTTTTATATAAAAGCTTGTGTCAGTGATTTGATTGAAGAGTAAACGCTCACATCATCATTCTCTCAGCATTTATGTTTTAGCGTTGGGCTGTAGATCTAGATCTAGATAATTTGTTGCTGAAGCTCTGAGACCGACACCCATCGTTCATTTTTAATTTCCAGTTTGATCCCCACTTAACCACGTTTTCGGCGCCCCCTGCTTTAGGAACCACTTGCATTAGTGAGTTACATAATAGCCTGTGCATTTTTTGTGTGTTTTTTTTTTGTTTTGCTCCTACCATATTTGTTACAACGCACCTGTTGTGTAGCCTCTGACTGTAAAAAGAGTGTGCAATGTGGCTAATAGGTCTAATTAAAGTCCATCAAATCTGCACTCTCCTCCCTTCCTCCTGATCCCTCCCCGGGATGACATCAGAGGAGATAGGATCATTTGTAATAACCACACTGCCTGCGTCAAGCTTAGGACAGTGTTCCACTTTAACAGGAATGTGGATCCTGTCCATTTGGTGTTGTGATAGGGAAGTTAGCCAAGACTAAGAACTGTTCATCCTAGTTTTACTCTCAGTGGCAGAGGCCTGTTTAAGTTGTTGTGTTGTTTGTATTTGTTAGTCTCAGTTAATGCAGTGATGATAGTGACAATAGTTTCATGCATCGGCCTCCAAAAGTGAAAGCACCTGTCAGAGGAAACAAAGTTTCGGTTACCCACCGGAAAACACCACAGTGTGCCGTTTCCACCTGACAAGTCATTATTGTCAAGTTGTCACGTACTGTGAAATCCTAACTGCCTAATGAAACCTAACTGCCTAATGTTCCAGAAAATACGCTTGCATCAAGAGTGCCCTACTTGTGCGAGTGCTCTAGTCTCAATTGTGCTCAACAGTATGTTGCTGTTTGAGTGCGTCCTCTGACCCCCTTTTTTTCATGCATGGCTAATAGGAAAGAGTAAAATCAGATGTAGCCTCTACCGTTTCATTCGTTCTAGACACCTCTCTGAAATGTTAGATATCCAGGAGTAATTGATAGACCGCACTCTTGGATTGTATCGCCGGCACAGATCATTTATGAGAAAAGGCATGGCTATCTGATTGCTAAAGTCAAGGTGTGTTGCTAATAAAAGAACTGCACCCGGTATCATCTGCATAAACAGAAATATCCTTTTAAATTATAACCTGTAAGGTCTCAGTTTATTGTGTTTGTTGTCGTTTTTTTTCTGTTGACATGAGATATTAAAAAGATAATACCATGCAGGATTATACAACCTGTCTGTATCGTATTATGGTAGTATAAATTCAGCCCAGTGGTACCTGTGGGGTAACCGGTTAATTGTACTGGATGGTTATTGCGGAACTAGATAATCATAACAAAATCTCAAGGTGGTAAATGTTAATACAACAAAAACTCGTTTTGGTTCAGGGGCCACATACGGCCCAGATTAGATGTCTAGTGGGCCGGACCAGTACAATTAAAACACAATTGCCTTCTGGTAACAATAAGTCAATGTTTACCCCTGTGGTTTTCCTGAAAGTAAGTACAAGAACATACAAAACATCACTCCATGAAATTCAACAAGCTGGCTGGATTGAACCCCCTAGCGGCCTGGTTTTGGGCCTCGGGCCGTATGTTTGACACCCTTGATTTGTTTATTTGATTTAGAAAAAAAAGTCTGTTTCTTATAGGGATGACTCTCATGTTCAGAATTAAAAAAAACAGCGGAATCCTATTGCCTTTTTATTTTTTTATTTTTTTGGGGAGGGGGGTTTGATTCCGGATTCCTAAAGGTGCAGCGCTGTCACCTACTGGACCTTTCTTCAGCTAACATGTCCTGGTAACTTAGGAAACCTGCCAGTTTTACCTTTACCCTTGATATGGTTTTAAAAAAACAAAACAAAGCGAAACAGATTATGGGTTTTTTATTTTTTTTCCAGCATCGTTTGCAGAATTATTTCACCACGAGTTGTTTTTTGACTCCAGTCTGGTTAAAGTGAGAAGTTCCTATGTAGGACAAAGGGCAGGAGAATGAGACCTTAGCACTTCTGTGATTGGCTGCTTCCGCGAGTGTGACCTGTTTGTCCAAGAGTAACCTCCAGATACTACAGGTCGTTAGCAGAAGATTACTCAGGCAGTCGTCAGTACAGGCACACACTGATACAGTGTGAAAGCCTTTTCTGGGACTTGTACAGCTACTCACCCTTGACTAATGTCGGCTAATCATCCTCTGTGTGTGTCTGTGTGTGTGTGTGTGTGTGGTTACACTCATGTATTTTTGCTTGGTGTGTGTACATGTGTACAATGTTTGTGTTACACGTACACGTAAGCTTTGTTATGTTTTGTGTGTGTGTGTGTTGGTTTGTTAGTGATGGTTGATGATTAGGTAAGGGCAGATAGAAATGTTCTCTGCGGTTGTTCACAGCCAAACTAATGACTCATGAGGGCTCTTTGTGTTTGTTCCCAGTGGAACATTCACAGTGATCAGACCTTGAGCTCAAGCCTTGCTTCTCCTCCTCATTCACCACTTCCTCCTTCGCCTCAACTCACTTTTCATCATTTGGAGAAAGTGCAGTTGAAAAGAAGTGGAGAAAGTAACCTTTATTATTATTATTAAGGAAAATATAATCACGGCCATACCACAAATATAAATCTTTACATTCCTGCATTTTTGAAGAAAAAAAAACCCGCTGTGAACCTTAAGGTAGATGGTCTGTATCTGTGGCTGTTCTTCAGCAGCTGGCTGTGAGGCTGCAGAGGCCTGGGTGCGTGAGAGGATGTATGTGTTTATTAACCTGCCACTAACCGTGTTTCCACTCCCCCTCAGGGAGGAAACCTCAGCCCACCAGGCTCCTCTGTAATTTCCACTTATCAGTGTCTGTGACAGTGGCTTATGTCTGTGTTGGAATGTTAACGTTTCTTCGTTTTTATGGCCATTTGTCTTAGAAAGCCTTGGATCCTTAGTCCTGGACTTACAATTTGTACAAAGAATCTAAGAAACGTTTGTTTTTATATATCTATATATACTGTTGATGTATAGAATCCCACCTGGGCCTGTTTGGTTGAACACAACCCTGATATACCTGCAGGAATTGAAGAAAGACAAATGTGAAGATAATCTTTAACAGCTTTGAGTTTCTTTTTCTTAAATTTTTATAGCCATCTGCTGCCGCCTAGTGGAAGAATTAATTTTGCTACCTGTCACATTTTGAAGGACACATTATTGGCAGTAGATTAAAAAAATTGTTTCAGGGCAACAATGTAAAATAGGGTGATGTATTATCTCACACTAATGTTCCACAGCACTGTGGTTGAGAATCACCTCTCTAACATATCAGATGAATATTGATTGATCCCTGCCTGTCATGCTGAAAGTTACTGGTTCAAATCCTCATAGTCTACAAGTCCCAGCCTGAAGAGCAGAGTGTTGGCTGAAAAGGTTTGTCCCACATTTAACCTCAAAGTCAAAAGAGCAGCCAAAGGAATAAAAAAAAAGAGTTTGGTTTCTTCTTTGCACATCACTCTGCATGTCATCACCGTGTCACACCCGTCGTTGTTCTTGTTATTCAAAGGTGGAACTCTGTGAGCACACACACTCACACACTCACACACACAGTTCACGTTGGGTTTTGTGCGTGGAGGTGTGAGGGAACGTTACAGCAGGATTAGACTGTCATCTCTGAGTGAACACTGTAAGTGTAGAGGTGTGAGGGAACGTTACAGTCATCTCTGAGTGAACACTGTAAGTGTGTTTTTAACTCAATAATGTTCATTGAGAAATCTACGTCTGTTGGAGTTGAATCAGTTAAAACCAAAGTTCACCGTCGATGGTATGAAGTGAGTCGTCGAGTTCAGAGACTGAAAGAAGAAACAGCCGACCAGTTTACAGTTTACAGCAGTTTACTTAGGATTCACAAAAACAGTCAAACAGGTTTCAGGCAGATAACCGTCCCAGATGCTGGCCCACTCGTCACACAGCCATGTGGATTATGTAATCCTGGAGGGTCACAACACAAAATAACTATATTTAATCCCAGCCCTAATGACAAACGGCAGCTGTCAGAAAACAGTCGCTGGTGTTGAAGACGTTGTTGTTGATGTGGTGTTCCTTCCTCTGTAGCGACCACTACCAGCCATCAGTGACATCAGCGCACAGACTGTGGTTCTTGGTTGGTTCCTGTTTTATCGGTGTTCATGTGACCGTACACTCCATTGGCGTCATGTCATAACTCTTGCTTTTTATTATGCATCAACCAGTGGCAGTCATTTTACTGCAGTGACCTACTGAATGCAGAGGGAACACTGCAGTAGTTCACATCACCTGGTATCACTTGGCAAAATTCCTACTGAAATGTCAATGCTTCTCTCGTCCTCTAGGGTTGCCATCCACCATGTTAAGGTAAAGCCCAGGTGCGCGGTGTTGACAATGCTAAAGCGCCTGGACAAGATCCGCTTCCGGGGCCCCAGGACACGAGACGATTTGTCAGATCTGGCGGAGTCGCCACCCGCCTCCGACAACGAATGTAGCGACGACATGCAGCTGAAGCCCAAGGCAGCTTTACGGGAGACGGAGGAACTCCTGCGAGACCCTGTGAGTACTCGCCCTACGCTGCTGCGTGATTATGGAAACGTCTGTGTGTGTGTGTGTGTGTGTGCGTGTGTGTGTGTGTGTTTGAGCCGCACTGTTTGGTGCCCTCAGTGTTTGGTTCAGGTGTTGTTACACCATCGGTCTCTTCCTATGCTTACTGGAAACCTGTTTCCCAGGCTGGTTGGAAGATTACCCACAAACAATTAGGAACATACCCTGACACACTTCTTCTTCTTCTTCTTCTATATATGTTAACAGTTTGATTTTAGGAAAGATTTTTTTTCCCTTTTCATTCTGTTTTTTTTTCCTTTGGTTCAGTTTGGTGAACAGTTCCTTTGATCTGTTCATATCTGCCCTTACCCCAGGGCTTTTATCATCTCTCTGTTTTTCTTTTTAGTTTTTATGTCATTCCCTTTTATTTCCATCCTTTGTGTCAACCTTCAGTCACGTCCCTGTCAGTTTTTTTTTTTCACGTCTCTCTGAGCGTCATTCACAACATGATGAATGTTCTCTGGTGAAATGGGACTCTAAAGGTTTCTATATCTCGCCTTGTACCTTGGATGGAATTGATGAAAGACGGAGTTGTTAGACAAAGAGACGGTGGACACACAGGGTAAAGATGAGCATCAGCTGAGGGTCTGATGAAAGGATAGAGGAGATGGATAGATGTGAATCAGCAAGGGATGAAAGTAGGAAATGAGAAATGTTAAAAGAAAAGGAGAGGAAATATTAAAAAATAAAGAAAAGTCACTCCTGCCCAAATCCAGATAATGTATGTAATGTATTCTGATAAATCTTCCTCCTCCACGGAAATCTGTAAATGTTTGTTTTTCGATCACCAGTTCCTTTGTCAGCGTTCTAGCGCTCGTAGCAGTATGAGGTTTACAGAAGAATCTAAAATACGGGATAAGCCACTTGATGCATCACCTCTTCATATGAGATGTCAGGGTCCTCGGTTTAATCTTCTCTCTATTGTTGTAAAGTGTCTGTGCAGAATTTCTTCAATCACACTGCAGTCATTTTTAACCTCTAAAATTAGAGTCGTTGGAGAAAACAGAAGAGAATGACCACTCCTAATTCCAAAGAGGAATCTTGAGGTCGCAAGAGTTGAGGTGTAGCTAGAGCCCAATGGGACGTTGGTATCACCTGAGGAGCAAACGTGGCCATGCGCCCCCTATAGTCTGTCGGTTGTGTCCTAATCCTTTTCCTCTCACCTTTAAACCATTTACCAAATGTACCATTGATGAATGGTTCACTTTGACCGTATCACGGCTGTGCCTCTCACGTCTGATTAGACTGGGTATGTCTGAGGTAAAGTGCTGTACTTGGCCTCACGATGGCGCTACATATTACCTACATATAAGCTGTTTTGAATGGGCTCCTGACTGAATGGACGTGTCATTGTCAGTTCATTCTACTTTCAAGTTCAGATTGGGAAAAAAAGAACAGCGGTTTGGGTCTGCCTTGGGACCGCGGTGCAGCTATTAGTGACCCGTTGTCTAAGGACGCCTACTGGACTTTAGTCATGTGCAGCATGCCTCTATTTGCATGCGTTGACCTTTCTTCCCTAACTGCGTCTGAGAGAGTGTCTGAGCCGGGAGTTTGTGTTTCTGTGTGTGCATGTGTGCTGGCTGCACGGTTACCAGCCTACGGGGGAAGACATCCCACACACCACGGCACTGGTGACTCACACTCTGAGGCCCCCGAAATAGACCAAGCTGGCTGTTATCCCTGCTGAGACACACACACACACACACACACACGACGTACATAATTGCATTCTGTAGCACAGAGCTTCCACTTCTTCTTCTTCTTCTTCTTCCTGTGTGGTGTCTGTCCTTCATATGCTCCTCCCGCCTCTTCACTGTATGTGCCATCAGTTCTGTACCACTGTTACAGTGTTCACAGTCGTGTGTGCAGGTCAAAACCTCACTTTAAATCACATTACCTCATGGGTTACAACAGTGGACTGTGCCCTTGGGCTGCAGAGTAGACTAGCTGTGTGTGTGTGTGTGTGTGTGTGTGTGTGTGTGTGTGTTGACCATATTAAACAGATAGAATGTCAGGGGGCAGCTGGGCTTCAGTCCTGGTGAAGAAGACTCCATTACCATCGCATTTCCTGCTAATATCAGGGCTTCAGCGTACGACTCCCTCAGAACACCTTTATCCTTTTTTTTTATTTTTATTTTTTTCAAAACAGAAACTGAAAGTAGATGAAGAAATGATTAACGAAACAAGCCTCCGGTTCACGTAAATGAAGTTGTAGTTTCATTTTCACAAAGCGACAGTAAATTACCTTTTTTTGAAATGTGGGTTCTTACGTGTTCACCACCGTTTCCTTGCAACACTAGAAAATTATTTTGGTGAAGAAATGATGGAAAGTCGTGTTAGTAAAGGGGAAACTGGTCGTGAAGTTTCATTAACAGTTAAACTGGTGGAAGTGGAAGAGGTAAACAGGACCAGTTCCTCCTTTTTTTTCCAGTAAACGGAAGAGATTTTGTTTTCACTGATTGTTGGTTTTTGAATCTGTATCTATGTAAATGGAGGATGTAAAAAAAAAAAAAAAAAGTACTGATAGAGTTGAGTTGCGAGAACAATACTGAGTGACATAATTATTCATAATTATTATTATACATTTTTCAACTCTCGAAAAAATGCTAGCATACGTCTCTTCACCATGACATGGACAAATCTTTGGTTGTTGTTTCACTGAAATATTGCAATATTCTGGATTTTTATCACCAATTCCCAGTCAAACATTCCTGGTGTTGGTTCATTTTCTTTTTTCTTTTCTTTTTTTTCTGAATAAATCCCTGAAGCTCAGTGCAGCAGCAGCAGCTACCACATGTTTATAGCTATGAAATAAATTCCCATGTTTACTTCCATTTTATGGCTGCCTTGGCTCCATTGGTACAAGCTTTAAAAAACAGTACCAGTACTGTTACCTGCTCACATTCACTATCATTAAAAAAAGAAAGGTCGCCGTGCAGTAATTAATCAGCCGCTAATTACACGGTGATGTCACAGTTTAACCTGGATATGAAGGACACGGGGACGGGGGGGTGGACTGCTTTGACCGTCAAATTAAGGCACGTGAAGGTGTGTCTGTTTTCTCCACCAGCCACACAAGGTGCTGTTAAAATTCCAGCCACACAGCTCTGCAACGTGACACTCCCACAGTCACAAAAAAACAAAAAAAAAAACTTCCCACACTCCCACTGTATGCAGTGCTTCCTTCCTGCCTGTTCTCTTCCTCGTTCCGTTTTGCCTTCCTCTCCTTCGTAACAATCTGTCCGTGTTCTTCTGTTTCCGACAGAGTAGGTTCCTGGTCGTCTTCTCTTGAAGTTTTCTTGTTGTTTTTTTTTTTTAATCCTCTTCATCTTTCTCTCCCTGCACGGCTGTCTTTTTTAGGTTAAGGTTTTGATACAAAGCCTGTTTTTTTTTTTCTTTTTTCAGGTCATCATCAGTGAAGTGCTGTCTCTCTGCCTCTCTCTTTCTCTCTCTCTCTTTCTCTCTCTCTCTCTCTCTCTCTCGCTCACTCACCAGTGAGCACATCAGCTTAACAGCACTGCAGCATGAAGTCGCTAGCACAGAAGCTGAGCTTGTTGTCTTGGAGAAGCTGCATTTGTGTGTGTCTGTGTGTGTGTGTGTGTGTGTGTGTCTGTGTGTGTGTGTAATAGTTTCCTGAAGACCACTGCTGTAGTCTAACACTGACATCCCACCTGCAGGGCACATTCTCCTGCCAACACAGCCATTGTTTTTTTTGTTTTGTTTTTAATTTTTTCCCCCCATCAGCCTCCCTTCCCCAGCTCTTAACTCTCTCTCTCTCTCTTTCTCTTTCTCTCTCTCTTTTTCTCTCGCCATCTTTTGATTGGGTCGTCATCTCAGTCACCGTCACGTTCACGTACAGTACGTTGCTAGCTTGCGTGTTGTGTGAGTGCGTGCGTGTCAGCGGAAAAGCCCTTAGTCAGAGGTGTGTGTGTGTGAGTCATCAGTGTTGTAGTCCGAGGAAGAGGAGAGGACTATCCTCCCTTTTCACCTTCCTCCTCCGATCCTGCTCCTGCTGGACTCGCATCACAGGAAACCGTGAGTCAGGGTCAGAGATGAAGATCTTGTGGGGTATTACTGCATGTCCTGTATACTGAAAAGTACTTATATTTAATGCCCCTCCCCCCACCCTCTCTCTCTCTCTCTCTCTCTCTCCCTCACAGGCAGGTTCAGGGTCTCCCACCATGGCTGCAGCCATCCAGGAGTTCCAGAGGATGGAGTCTGACCGGCTGAATGAAGTCAAAGGTCACCTGGAGATTGCCTTACTGGAGAAACACTTTTTACGTGAGTACACAAATGTACACACACACACACACACGTGTGGCTAAACAGATGCTCGTTAGCTTTGCTCAGGGTTGCCAGTTCTGCTGGTGGAGGCCCACCGGTGCGTGTCATGCTTCAGTACGACGTCATCATAAGGCGTTGTTGTTCATTGGTCAGAGTCCTAGTGTGTGTGTGTGTGTGTGTGTCATCATAAGGCGTTGTTGTTCAATGGTCAGAGTCGTAGTGTGTGTGTGTGTGTGAGTTATTGCATGTAATTCTAGTTTTAAAGCTTCATCCAGATCCTTCTTAGAACTTCCCAGATATTTTCCTTTTTTTTTTTTCTTCTGGCATCCGCGTTATGCTTAAGAAGATGTGTTGGGCCAGATTTGGCCGGTGGGCCTTGAGTTTTAAATCATGCGTTCTGAAGTCTCTGCAGTACATGCACTTCAGAGTACCAACGCCTGGCGTGTGATTGGCTCTCCGCCTTGAATTTTATCACTGTTTGCACTGTTAGACTACTCGCAGAAAATAAAAGCTGTTTACCAGAGGAGGCAGATGAAGGACTGTTGAACGACAGAACCACTTGATAATGTTCTTGACCCAGCTCAATAATTAGGATCATTAGGAGTCACCAGACGAGACACATGAGCAGTTTAATCAAAACATATCAGCCAACTAGGATGATGAAATCCGTACATACAGTATATGTATATACTGTATATGTATATGTACTGTATATATGTATGTATATATATGTATATGTACTGTATATATGTATATGTATATATATATATCTATATATGTATGTATGTGCGTATATATGTGTATATGTATGTGCGTATATATGTGTATATGTATGTATTCACTGTATGTATATGTATCTATATATGTATATGTATGTATATATGTATGTATATATGCAAATATATATATATGATTTTATTTTCAGTTAATTTCTTAGAAAGAATAATTACCGTATAATCTGCTACGACAACGTTAAACATGTCGATCCCGTTTATCACTTATCTAAGGAGTTCCCAGTAACAGTAGGATTACAGCAGAACACGTGATCAAGTTCTGTGGTTTCAGCCTCCAGTCAAACGATACCACACTCCACTACCATCTCCAATTCAATTTTCAAATTGTTGCTGATAGTCTTGAGTCTTATCAAGATGTGATGTCATGCTGCCTCTGAGTGTGGTCTGCTGCCTACTGTACTCCTCAGGTTGTTTTCTTCGATGGTAATAAATTTAGGACACAAAAAAATGATTTTATTTTCAGTTAGTTACAGTAAAAAAAACAAACACCAAACAGATGCTGGTCTGTGGCCCGGGGGTTGAGGACCACTGTTGTGGACTCTGTATCTTTGGCAGTATCTGTGTTTTTTTTTTTTTTAAGCTGCTCATACACTGACCTCCTGCCGCCGTGATGAGACGATCAAGTCTAACACCATCTCCAGAACTCTTCTCATTTATTTACCGCTGCCTTGAAGTGTTCCTGTACTTCAAAGGCTTTCGCTCTGTTTAAAACCCACTAGTTGGCTCAGTCCAGGCAGAACCAGTCAAAGCTGAAGTGTTTTAACACTGTTTTGTTTTTTTTTCTTTCAAGAGAAGATTTCACTAATGCATCACGGTAGAGACCAACTGGTGGCCCACGTGCCAAATACGGACCACTAAACCATCCAGTCCGGTCCGTCTTACCCCCAATATGCCTGTCCAGAAAAACTTTGTCCCTCTGACAAATATAATTGGTGACTAGGGGTGTGTAGTGGCAAAAATCTGGTAATACAAGTCAAGGCAACAAGACAATATATGGCAATATACTGCAATAATGAATATCAATACACTGATATGTTACATTTCAGTGAATCTATATGTATTATTATATTTTATATACATTTATTATATATGTATATTTATTGAATATATTATATATTATTATTATTATTATATTAATATATTTATTTTCTTACAGCCCTATTGGTGACCTGTGTGTCATGGTATTGATTTCAAAGTTCAAATGATTAGTATTTGTACCTGCTGTGATTCAATAGTCAGTTCATGAGAAACCCATCATGTAACAGCTGCATCCCTAAAGATTTGTTTTTCCCATATACTTTGTGACTTGGTGAATTCTGAAATCTGCAAGTTTTGCACATAGGAAGTTCCTTTCTGAAAGAAATAAAAATAGCAACAGCTCAGTCAGTTGGAGGAGTAACGACTGTCAAACCGACTGCTCCTCCTGCCTGACGGGGATGAATGTGGTGAATTATTTGTAAATATATTTAAAAGATTGAGAAGGTGTAGGAGTGGGTGAGTGATGGTGAGGCAGGAAGAGGGGAAAACGGAGGGAATCAGCTGGAGATGAAAGAAAATATATGAAGGCCTTCCACAGTCAGCCCACTCAACTGACACACTGTTCAGTTTTTTTTCCTGCACAATGTTGTATCCAGTGAAGCGGGCGCTGCCTGTCCTGAAATGTTGCAGTACGTCGTCAGTCCAGGGGTGGAGAGTGTGTGTGAAGGAGAATACCTCGGGCCATGTCCTCTCCTATAATGCCCAGGCCTGAGCTAAATGGGGAATCCATCGTCACATTGTCAGGAGGACAGTTAGATAAGACCTTCCTTCTTCCTTCCTCTCTCCTTCTCCTCGCTTCCCTTTTTTTTCCTTCCTTGTCTTCTCAGTAAGATAACTCTCAGGCTCCTTCTGACATTTTTTTTTTTTTTACCTCTCAGGCTCCTTCTGACTTTTTTTTTTTATTTCTACCCCGTCCTTTTCAGCTGGTCTTTCAGGTCTCGTCCACCTTCAACCTCCTCTTCATTCTAAAGTCAGCCTGCAGCCTTTTCTCTCCTTTGTTTTTTTTAAAATGTTTTACTGCCTTCTAGTGTTGATTTTCATTTCCTTTTTTTTTTTTGCCTCCACCTTTCCCGCACAGCTCGGTATTCTGAGGTTATTCTTCTGCACAGCTCGGTATTCTGAGGTTATTCTGAGATCTGAGAAACAACACGACAGGCGAGGAAAAAAAAAAAAAAAAAAAAAAGCTGAAACGTTGTAATGAGCCGAAAGAGTCGATGACACAAATGTCATCTTTCTTTCCCTGAGATGGTAGTAGCCACTTGGCATTTTGTCAGGGAATAAACCCTCCCGACATATCGCCCTGGGTTCACTGATTTGGAAAGGGTAAGAACACTCACTCTGCTGGTTCACCCTGATCATGTCATTTTTTTTAATCTCTCATGCCTCTCAATCCCCTGTCCTGTCTCATGCTGGTGCAGGTGAACTTCCGGGAACACTGAAGCAGGACAATCCTTTAGCACCTAATGGAGTCCAGAGCTCTTTGCCCTGCAGTCTCATTGGTGTAAATTCAGTTTCTGCTGAGTTTTTTTTTTGTTTGTTTTTTCGACTGAGTTTGCCTAATGTGGTATAAGAATTAACTGAATGCTGAGACTGTGTTCAACAACAGGTGTTTTTTTTTTTTTTTTTTACGAGAACACCTAAGGCGAATAACATACTTTGCCAGAATGTGAGAAATGTGTTTTTTCTTGTGTATTGTTTGCCAACAACCCTGTGATTGGTTGGAACTGGAAGTGGGTGTGGTCAACTTATATATTGGACTGGTTGAAAATTCCATTTACATTCCTTTTCCATTGATTTCAAAATCCCAAATTATGACAACTAATCTGTCTTCTCCATTGCTTTAAACACGTCCTCCTCCTCCTTATTTTGCTGAAGAACAGCCGTCTCTGTCAAACACCACAGTACTGTCTCTACAGTACTTACAGTACTAGTTTTATGCAATACTTACTTAAAGGCTTCGGTTCTTGCGGAGCATTTTTTACACCAAAGATATTAATAATTCACAGATTAATCAATCGTAGCTCGAAAAATAACGGTTCATTACTTTCAGTCCATTTATATTGGTATAAATTAAATATGAAGTTCTTTTCAAACTAGCGATGGCTCCATACAACTTTGTGTTGTGTCCGATCTGCCGTTGTTGTGGCGATAATCTTCCTCTTTATGGCATGTCACTCAAAGTTAAGTCGAGCATTTAGGCTTAGGTATCATAATTGACCGATATCGGACCGATACCAATCCTGACTGTCGGATCGAGCCCTCCCTACTATAAACTGGTGTATACAGTATATTCATCCCCCCACAATGAGTTCTGTTGTTTTTATCATTGTTACAATTCCAACTCAAGGTCACCACATGTTCTTTTAGACGCTTTAGCAAGAATTAAGCTGACGTGTTAATTATCCATAACATGTAACTCCACTCAATCTTTACAGATTTGCAGTTTTCTATAAGTTGTAGCTAATCGGATTAGCATGGTGAAACAAAGGAGGCCTTGTGTGTGGATGTTATCTGCTCGTGTTGTGCAACGTTTTTTTTTTTTTTCCCTCTATAAGAACACAGTATGCCATTATATTAAAGGTGGAGCCGGAAGTTTGCACACTGTAATGTTAAAGGTCGTGTTTACGACTGGGTGTCCTGTATTTACCCACGTTGTGGCTTTTGCAGCAGATTATATTAGACGGCGTACAACATACAAAAAAGTAGTCGTAAAAGAGTATCGGATCTTTTTGATGAGACCATCGGAATAGACCAAGGATTGGTCTTTGTTTCTGGAATGTTCCTTTAACACACCAGAGGATTAATCATGTCACGTAACATTCGTTCAGACATGATTTTTTTTTCGGTACAGTCAGTACTGTCAGTCGTTAGTAGTTTAACTGACAGCAAAGCTGCTTTTAAGTCCACATCGTAGTAAAGTCTAAATTGGGTTCTTTCTTCTGTACTGCTTTAACACTAAGTGACAAGTACGTTGTCTTTTCTGTGGCTGCTCCACAGAAATCGTACCCTGGGGACTTTAATGGAGTTCATCATCCATGTAGTTTGTTCAGCTGAACCATGAGACACGGTTTGAAGACCTTGAAACTAAAGTTACTCAATAGAAAGCGGGTGATGTGCTAGTGCTGCACAATCCGTCTAATCACAACCACGTTATCACGTACTGTG